CTGCATGCCGGGGACTGTGCGTCGATGGAACTACCCACCTCCTCTTTGCATAGGTAATACACACAAACACTGCTATGCTGTTATGAATGATCGATCCAATGGGGAAAAAATTCCCTGCAGGTGTTAGGTTCACATTTAACTTTAAGGCCTGCATAGCAAAGTGACATTTTATTAGATAGGAGATGTGAGTGTTACAGGTTTACAGGTTTATGGTCACATGTTCTTGTGGAAAGTTACTGTTTGATGCATTTGTATTACTTATTGAGGTTAATTTAAAATTCTTCTCAAGTCATTGCGTAATCCGGCAGTTGAATACTAATGAATAATAAAGACTGCATCCACACACAGTAACATACTATTATCACCTTGAAATCAGATTTGCGGAAGTAAGCAACTTCTTGACTGACATAGGATTAGCATTCTATAGGATCGATGAACTGGCTGGGTACAAATTGAATTTTGTACCTTCTGCAATAGTGTTAAGGAACCTTGATTACATTGATGTTTGTGTTTTGGCCTGAATAATTCAGTCCTTGCTGAAAACTTGTAGCAGGTCTGGGAAGCCCATTCCAGTTTAACTCAACCTTGACATGTCAGGACTAAATAAACTCAGCCCTACTACAGTCCTCTTCAGTATATGTCAGATCCAACATTACATAATGTCTCATACAATTTGAAATATATGTCTGTCACTTTGGGATATACAGGAATTCATAAAACATGGTCCAAGCCCTGTCTCTTAACAATTGGTTTCATATGCTTCAGTTAACACCAAATAAGTGAGTTTAATTGCTACTGTTTTCTGTTATTTTTCATTTATTTAGTTTTATACTTTAATGACCCTAATGCGCCCTATTTGTCTAATAATATCACTGTATCTAACCCTACCTGGTACCTCTAAACTGAAAATACTAGACAAATAACAAAACAATTAAACAGTTGTGTGTCAGGTGTTTCTAATATTCTGCCCCCCTCATGTATGTAGATAGGGACGAAGGGAGGACAAAAATAAAAAAAATACCTCTCTTGATATAATGTAGTACTACATCACCACCTTTAACTGTGACCTCAGTAATAAACACCTAATTGAAGTTACACATTTCCAACAATGTCTCCAAAAACTGAACATTTGGGAAGGTAGAATTTGTGGCACAGCTCTGTTGTATTGAGTTGACATAGATTATACAGGTCGACCTAATAAAGTGTACACTGAGTGTAAATAGTAACACTAAAATCTCCCCATTCCCCTTCACCTCTCTAGTTGCCGCTTGTGGCTGTAACATTTTTGATTTTTTTCTGTTAAGGCAAAGAGGATGAAGTGATGATCTTTACTTTACATTGCTCACATGTTGGCTGTTTTAACAATGTGTTTTCTGTGCCTGTGTTGTCAGCTCGTTGCGGAGGGGTGTTGTCTGAGATGAGTGGTGTCATCCTTAGTCCAGGTTTCCCTGGCAACTACCCAGGCAACCTGGACTGCACCTGGCAAATCACCCTGCCAACTGGATATGGTAAGTATTATGGGATGGAAGAGCATTCCTAGAAAGATTGTGCCATTGTCAGTATATCTGTTGGTGTAGTTGGGAAACACAGACCCCATTCTTTAGCACAGAATCTGCAGCAGTAACACATGGTTTACTGAAAGCTTCACCACATGTTTAATTGGAGGGTGACACATGGTGTGTTCTGTTTAATGACTACAGTAACTGATGGTTTGAAGAGCACACAATTTGTATACTTTTGTGTGCATGGCATACATGCCCCTGTGTGTAATCACAACTAGTTTTTAGCTGATGTGATATGATTTTTATTTTTAGAAATGATAATAGTATATTCAAATGACAATAAAACTAGATTTAAGACAGCTTTATTGGCATTGTCTCAGACAACAAAACTGCAGTTATATCCTTGGTTCAAAATGGCAAAATATAAACAAAATACTGTATAAATCCATCTGATACTTTCATAGATTTATTAATTTTTTAGTAAATCATATAAATTAAAAGATAATGATATGGTAATAAAAATACATATCAAAGTGTGGAGTAATGTAAACGTATTGCCCTTGGTCTCTACAGTGTGCATAAAACATGTCTCTATGCTGTATGCACACTATAAAAGCAATGTTAAATCTCAGAGCCTTCAAATAAACATATAGGGCATTAAATTAAAGATCCTTTTGGCTTTTGAAATCACACATACTTGTATTGAATGTAGCCTGTTATATTTTGTGTTTGTATTCTAGGAGCCCACATTCAATTCCAAAACTTCTCATCTGAAGACAACCATGACTTTCTGGAGGTCAGGGCTGGACCACAGCACAGCTCTGCTCTTATTGGACAGTTTACTGGCTCACAGATCCCACCAACTTTGTTGAGCACTACCCACCTAACAATCATCCACTTCTACAGTGACCACTCAGAGAACAGGCCGGGGTTCAAACTGAACTATCAAGGTGAGTTCACATTTAGACAATTAAGATGTTTCTTGTTTTAAAGAGACGACTACAGACACAAAAGGCCACAAACCCTGAGGTGTTACTGCAGGCGCTTCCTATTGAAATCTGCCCCCTCAAGGGACGCTGAGGGGGCAGATTTCAGACCTGTATTAAAATTGAGCCTACTCTAGGTTTGGGGTTAGGAACACAAGATGGTTGCTTGAATGATTTAGAAAAAAATGGTCTCAAATGTTCTGAATGAATTAACATCCAAACTTAGTTGCCAAATTACAAAGCCTTTCGAACTCCAAGAAATGTAAAAAAAAAACCTATTGCTATGAGGTTTTGAGCTTTGATCCATGGATGAGTCATGCTAAAGACTTAAAAAACCTTATGGCTTTCCTCTCATCATTAAAAGAGATGGATTGTTAGTAAGACCCTGTGAGAGACTGGCATCTTGTCCAGCAGGCTTTACTTATAGCCCTAAGTGCCTCACTTCAAAGACACAAGAAATGCACTGTGGGCCTATATGCCAGCAGAACTAGAACAAGGCTTACACATGAGCTAACCTACATTCATGTTACCATATTCCCCTCTTTCTCCCACTTTGCAATGGCAGTCCCCTAAAGTATCCTAACACTGCAGTCCTTGTCACTGCTAACTCCCACTGTTGGAACGCGGATGTTTTGGACATTGTTTCCTCACATGGAGTTGCAGCACATACTTGTATTCAAGTGACAGCACAGAAATTCAGCAGGAGCATGCAATACACACTAGGGATGTACCGATCAAGTTTTTTTTTTGCCCCCGATCCAAACCAAGTCATTTATTATTAAGTATCTGCCATTTCCGAGACCTGATCCGATACTTGTATTTTTTTATTTTAGATAATTAGTCAGTACACAGTGCACACAATCCAATGTATATGCCTGACAATTTAATAGCTCTGCATTGCAGAAACAGAATGCTTGCATTGAAGCGGTTTCTTAATGTTTTTTTTTTTTTTTTTAAATGTACACAATAAAGTATAAAATACCAAACCCTCTGTAATCTTTTTGGTCTTGTCGCTGTCTGGAGGGAGTTTCTCTCTCCAGTGTTTGGTGCTTCAGTACAGCCTTTGTCTAAGTTACCTGAATGAACTGTTTGTACTCTGTTGAGTGTCTATCTTTTCCATGGATTACATTCATTAATTACTCTTACTGGCTTCTTATTCAGGGGGCTTTTGTTGCGCTTGCAGTAGTGTTTTGAGTGTGGATGTCTCAGATCCCCACCGCTCTCTCCTCCAAGCAGGGGCAGCCCCACCCACTGTAAAACTCCGCAGCGGGCGATGCTACTCTCACACACACACAGAGTTGAGCAGAATGGAGGAAAAAAGACACCAGAGAAAGTTGACAATGGCTACACCGTGCATGAAAGCTCTGTGTGTAAAAACAGCTGTATGACAGCTGACATAAAACAAAAGATCGGATCGGGTCAATAAAGCTCAATATAGACAATACCGATGAGTTAAAAAATGCCTTGATCGGATTGGGACATGCCTATACGCAGAGGTTCGGTATGATTCTACTGTCAATTGTGTTGAATGAACATAACTGGCAGTGCTCTAGCCTGGGTGCATGCTTTCACCCCTGCCCCACTCAAGCTCTCTGCCCAAGGCCTAGGAGTTGCTGTGTGCACATTCACAAAACCTCAGTGGGATAAATGCTGGGTGCCAAAAAATCAGTGAGAATAAAATAGAAAAGTACCCGCACACTGACTTTTTGATCCAAACATCGGTAACAAAAGCTTATGGGAGCTCTGATTCCAGTTTTACTGTTTAACACTCTCACTTTGTACCTTCTTAGTTGTAGTTTCACAAGAACTCCCACTACCACATTTTCCACATTTTCTCTTGTTCCTCAGCCCATGGTGTTTCTATATCCTCTCATATTCCTTCCCCTTGGTGCTGCTTTCACATGGGACCTCTACATCTTTTGCCACTTTCTTTTCCATTCCTTCTTCATTTCCACAATGTCTATTTAGATTTGTCAATATTTGTTTACCTATCGGGATCTAAAAGTCCCACAGGTTCTTAGTTCTGACATTCTTAAGCACCCTTTTTGGCGTCTCCATCTGGTCTTGAGACTGTCTAGCCCATACCCAACAAAGATCTTCCTGTAAACATCCTGCACATTGACTGTGTTATATGCAGTTCCCTCCTACATCTTAGATCCTGCTATTATCAGCATAGAGTGCCTCTGAGACCTCTTTGCACAATCTGCACCTCGGTTACTGTCTAGTGCTGCAGACCCTGTTTGTATTGACCAGGTACTGAGTGCTGACCTTCTCGCTCGCCTTTTCTAGCAACTGGTTATCCAGAGTCAGTCACCTCTGCTCTTTGTCAATGGCACTTCTAATGAAGGAGCTTGGCAGGAGAACTTGACACTCATGCAGAGTGAAATGTGCCCTACATAGACAACGGATATTTCCTCAAGTGTTGGCATGCCATGCATACATGTACCAGATAACCGTGTAGGAGGAGATTACTGTAGCTGTACGGATGTTGCTCCACTTACAACCGGTAGCCTCTGTGGGTCATAGATGTTTTTATGCCCATTAGCCATGTCCATTAGCTGTAGACGGAAACATGGTTGCAATACAATGAATTACAATTTTTGTTTTGTAGTTGCATTTTAGGACTTTGGAGGCAGGCATGAAGGGCACACAGGGACAAATATACAACTACATTGCCTGTCTGCCTTTTCTAAAATTCTTTCTTCATCTCTCTCTTTAGCCTATCAGCTTCAAAATTGCCAGGACCCCTTTCCTTTCCCCAATGGTGACATCATCAACAGTGACTACAGCGCTGGCCAATCAGTAACCTTTCAGTGCTATCATGGTTACGTTTTGATCGGACATCCAGTACTAACGTGCCTCCATGGGATCAACCGGAAGTGGAACCACCCTTTTCCACGCTGTGAGGGTAAGAACAATTTGAAATGTTCTTGCAATGTCTGTCGATTGATGTTGCTAAAAAATGTAGACTTCTCATATTAGCCAGTTTATGATTTGTTGTTGTGTTGTTACACATGTTATTAGTTTTACCCCAGAACATCCCCATCCCTCAAGTACCAATTGTAATTTAAAATCTAGACATTTACAAAATGTTGTTATCCTAAATGAATTTCAGTAAATTTAATCTCATCTTTCATCGGTATCACAAGCCATCAGTGTTAGCACTTAAGTAGATGGATCATTTACTCCATACATGAGTAGCACAATCATTGCTCTTATTACTACCACTACTACTGCTGCTGCTTCTACTCCTACTACCGCAAATAATGATAATAATTGTATTCCTCATGGTCTGCCGTTCAACAGTTAGTCTTCCCCTGATCCTTGCAGGTTTGGCACGTTAGAAGAAAGTGACACATTTGCACATAGATAATCTTATAACTGCTTTTTACAGCTCCTTGCGGCTATAATGTCACGGCTGAAAACGGGACCATCTATTCACCTCAGTACCCCAATGAATACCCCAACTCCCAAGACTGTAGCTGGCTCATCACTGTTCCCCACGGACATGGAGTTTATATCAACTTTACCTTATTGCAGACAGAGCCTGTCACTGATTACATCGCTGTCTGGTAAGTCTGGGTGCACGTGCACATACACACACACACAAATGCATACGCTTCTTTTCAATGTTGCCCTTTTATCCTGGGACTGATTGCATCACTGACGGGTAAGTTTTGAATGTACTTATAGCCTGTCTCCTCTCTACACACTAATAAGAAGATGGTGAAGTTGTAGCAACTTTTACCTCTATTTTGTATTCATCTCTTTGTCATTCTCTCACATAGACTTTGTGGGGTATATTTTATTTGTGATAACCTTATCCCTGGTATTGATTGCATTTTTATTCATTACATTTTACTTTTTACAAACACAGTCTTGCCTAATCAAAGGTATATATCAATATGTGTCAATTGTGTGACAAGTGACTTTATCGCAGGGGGATGCACACAAACCCATATGGATCTGTATATGGCATGGTTGATACACAGGGATCACAGCTCCATAGACTCCTAATACATACATGCATACATACCCTGTGCCATGCATAGAGTGAGTCTCCTGCAGTAGTAATGGGATTCAATGCCGAGGTAAGACTGTAATATAGGGAGTGTGAGAGTAATGCATTTACAATGGGACCACTGACCAATTCAATCTAACTCAGTACCATGGCCATACGCAGACCCGGAGAGGGCTCAGGAACTCTGGCAGTAATGATGAGATTCAGTGGGGAGTGGGAAATGTAATGAAAGGACTGGTGGAGCTGGGTTCCCAAATCCAACAGGACTCAGCTGGATCTGACAAGCGTGGGTCAGTCCAAGATAAATTTCTTACCTAATAGTTTCAGTCAGCACTGTGTTTGCTGTCAAAAATAATATTGAACTGTAAATTCATTTAAAAGAAAATTAAGATCAAGTAGCATTTGGAAACTGTCATCAGTTGGCTTTCGTTTGGTTTGGGAAAGAAACATTCGGTGCTTGGGTGTGGTCAGTCTTTTTTATTTTCAGGCTCAAGAGTCAAGCTCTAGGGAGTAAGCAGTTGAAATGCACACAGTGGGAAAGTAATACATTCACAGCCGGTGACTACTTGCTGTCAATCTCACCAGCCACCAGAGCCATGGATATAGCTAGGGAGAGGCGCGGCATCAAGTTATTTTGCAGTTGCAAATTGATTCTGGTGATTCATGTGTTTTTGGCAGATTTCATGTGGAACTAAATTATAAAATCAAATTCATAGATTGTAGGGCACCAAAATAGATCTGTGATATTAGTGCATACATGATGGACTGTTGCAAAGCACAGTCTAGCTTTGTCTCAAACACATGAATATATTTGGAATTGACTAGGGGCTGACACTGAAGAGAGGAGTGCTTTTCTCAGACCCAGTGGGATACCATCTACCTTCCAGGGCCTTAGACGGATTTAGAGTGGGAGATCCAAAGGTCTACTGTTTCTGCATTACAGCCATGTACATAGAGGAGTACTGAAACCCACATCAGTATGCTGGGTCTGAATATTCATTAAAGATACAGTGGATATGACTTTATTGTCAGATTTATCTGCAGTGTTTAAAAATAATGACTGATTTCAATATTATGGATTTTACTTGCATTAATACCTGCAAAAAAATCTCTACAATACTATTTTTTACTCCAGACAGCTATACTGTAGATAGTGATGTCAGCACAGGGGGAACAGCCATGCCTTCCAGTTGTTGTCAGTCAGATCAAAGGTCGTTGCATCACTGACTCCGGCCATATTTCTTTTTGACAGAGATGTGCTCACCTGTGCTTTAACAGATCTTATATTCTAACTCATATCCTTGTGTATGAGGGAATGTTTTTTTGGTGTGTTTTTGAGTCCTTTGCCCAAGCAGAAACAAATGTACTCTTCAAGTGGAAGGTTGGTGCAATGTAAGCACTACAATGGGTTTCCAGTGAATTAATGGGCTCCATTTAGATTATGAACACAGGCTTTCTGAAACGGCCTTTTGAAACCTTTTAATGATGGAGTTAGTATTTGGAATACTTTTAATTATGTGCATCAGCGGCGAACTGTTAATAAAACAGGATAACTGACATTATCTCATTGCACTCATAAGAGCTTAAGATTAGGGCCACTGCTTTTGTCATGATTTGGGCATTTGACTGTTTGGATTTCTGAATTCAATTTGACAAAAAATGGGAGACACAATATGCCCTGTGTGAGCTGCTAGGTTAATAAGAAATTGATTGGGAACATAATATCAATTAAATATAGAACTTGTAATGGTTAACTTTAAGAGTTTTATCCCAAAAGGAGTCATACTGGATTTTAATAAGTGAATAAAAACAAACCTGTTACTGATGAAAATTAAATTTACAGAGAAAAGCTATCAGCCAAGATTACACATAGTTACTGTACAGATAAAATATGTTTTGTGGGTCCTGCAAATGCTGAGCAACAAGCATAAGATGGCATAAAGAGGCTGAGAACTGACTTTGTGCACTGCTACCAGTAACAGCTGACTCTTACAATCATCAGTCACATTCAAACAAGTCAGTGAGGTAGTTTTTACGATCTAAGGAGCCTACACTTACACTTTTCTGACCATTCATTGTACCACTGCTGTCAGAGGTAATGCTGATTTCATCAGTCAAACCTGTGAGAGATATTTTTTGCCTTGTGCATTACTATGTCCTGGTATTAACCATATCTCAGTGATGTGTCTGCCTGTTTCTGCCCTGTATGTCCCTGGGGTTTATGTGACGGCAGGCTGCATCCAGATGTCAGGGACTGGAGCCAAACTGTCTCTGTGGTCTACCACCAGTTGTGTTTGGCTTTTTGCCGAATGTCACTGAACCATTTCAGGGCTTTGGATCTAAGTCCAAAGCAACACAGTAGTTTATGATGCTGTATACTCTCTCACATTTAAGATTTTCTGCCTTTATTGGGCAACAGAGGCAGACAGGAAACATGAGACATGCACCAAAGGTTGCCGGCTGGAATTGAACCAGCAACTTTGCAGTGGCCATGTGGCTACCAAGGTGATCCATAATCCCTCCCCACCCTCCTTTTTAAAAAATATTGTCAATTACATTACAATGTTGAAAACATTTTGTGTATTATTGGTCTTTTTAATATTATTTATTTATTTTAATATATCCTAGTCCTGAATCTCTCGGGGAAAAAATCAATGCAAAAATCATGAAAATGTATTGAGAAATGAATTGTTTCAATGCCTCAACAATGCAACCTTTGAGAACAGGAAGAGATAACATTTAAGATACATCACAATATTTTATTAAACAAAATCCCAGAAATATCTATTCTTATATCACAGCATTGTTGTTATATCAATGTTCTGTCTCTTCTGCCTTTGTAGAGGTTTTTGTGGTGGATCCACTGTTCTCTCCATCATAGGACTCTTAGAGTGTTGTGGCAAAAAGCACCACTTTTTAGTGTAAAAAAAAAAGGGATTTCTCTGGTAAAGAATCATGTCAGCCCCTATCACTCTGTTATTGTATTCCTCCACACTGTGCTTGTGTCAATCACCTGAAGTATTGTAGATAGACAGCGTGAACAGTAGATCCATAGACAGTGCTAAATCGTAAAGGAACAAACCTATTTTTAATCTTAATTTCTAAAGGTAAGGCTCACTTAAAATGTGTGGGAGAATATCTCATTCACTCTTCCTGACCATCAGCTGGTATTGAGATTCACATCCTCTGGCAGGAGCACATTCTTACTTCACTGAGGGAAAGGTCACTAACCAACTCTGCGAGTTTCTCTGCTGTTGCAGAATTTCTTCACTTTTCAGGAATAAGTTTAAATTATAAATACAGCCCCAAAATACATGTTTTAATTAGATAAATTATATATGTTTTTTAGTCTGAGAAAATATTGCTTTTGGGTTTCTGTAAGTAAAAATAGAGCCACAAAATTCTAACTTAGTTTTGATTTAAATGACCCAAATAGCACATTTTGATTCTCCAAATGAGCTCCAACACCTTCGGAAGACCTTGAATTATTGAGGAGCCAAGAGATCCCAGGCACTCTTCATGAATTAAAATTTTAAAACCCTTGTTTAATCCAATGGCATGTTCATTAAAAACCTAAAACTGGGCATTTAGGAACTTTATAAAATGTAACCTTTCAACAACATTCAATATTTAATGAGTGAAGTTAAGCCTTTAATCCATGGGCTTTGTTCAATGAACTTGTTTGAAATGGGTGAAAAAAGCAAAGCAAAGAAAAAATATATTTTTGCTACCCCTTCGATGAACAAGCATGTGGACTCAACAGATATGTGTTTTATTTTATCAAGAAAGGCTGCTTTTGGTTTCTCTTCCTCCAGTGAAAGCAAATCCACAACCAGCATTTTATAAGAAAGTCATACTGATCCCCACCCCTTACCCTCATTTAGAGCCGTGGCAGACACATGTACCAGCGCATTGTTGATGCCAGTCGACAATTTGTTTATTCAGTATGATTTTAATCACACCTGAATGTAGCCATTTAAGTTTTTCATCACTATTATGGATTTCCATTATACGGAATCTACAGAGGCACTTTTGGAGATAATTGTAGATTTGTAATACAATATATTTTGGGGTGAGATGGAGGGTATTTATTTTATTTTATTTATTTTTTTTGCAAGTAGATCAATGAGAAAAATCTATATATTTCTACACAGAATAGAAGAGAAAATAAAAACTGTTGCAACCAAAGTAATAAAGGTTGATCCAGGGCAGATACAGAGCAAGATGATTATATATATACTAACCCACAAGTTATCTATAGGTGAGTCAGAAAGTAATTTAAAATCATGTGTATATTCCCATGCACCATTCTATAATGTTACATTTAAATGGACTGTACTTGTCTAGGGCCCTTCTAGTTCTTTCTAGTTCTTCCCATCACTCAAAACGCTTTGTACACTACATGCCACATTCACACAGTAATGTCAAAGCCAGCTCATTCATACACATTCACACACTGATGCACAGCATTGGGAGCAATTTTGGGTTCAGTATCTTGCTCAAGGATACTTCGACATGGAGCAGGAGGAGCTGGGAATCGAACCAATCAAATTACACTTTTCTATCTTTATATTTTAATATTAAGTTTTATTCTTTATATTCTTTGTAATCTTTATTTTGTACACCTATTCTAATTATTATTGTTGTACTTTAGTCATCCCCACATTTCCCTGCACATATTGAAAATATGAGTATGTGACAAATACATTTTTGAATTTTTAAACTTGTTCTTGTAAGGGCTTGGCCTACGACTCTGGGTTTCTCTCTCTCTCTCTCTCTCTCTCTCTCTCTCTCTCTCTCTCTCTCTCTCTCTCTCTCTCTCTCTCCGTCCTTCTGCTGCAATAGTTTGTATGTATCCTGCTTCCAGTTTCAGTGTCATCAGTTGTCTTTGTTGTGTGTCTCCCTCTCTTTATTTAGGGATGGCCCAGATACGTCGAGTCCTCAGCTGGGAGTCTTCAGTGGCAATACAGCGTTAGAGTCGGCCTACAGTACCAGCCAGAAGGTCCTGATCCGCTTTCACTCTGACTTTTCAACTGGAGGCTTCTTCATTCTCAATTTCCATGGTACAGATACACACTCTCATGGACGCATTTACCTACAGACTAAGTATCCTCCAATGTACAAGTACAGCATGTACAGCAAGTAAAAGTAGATAAAATAACACACATATGAACCAAACTAACAAAGAAAACTACGTCTTGATTTAGGAATTGATGTAGTCTTAGTATGAGTGTATATAGTGCCTTTCATCCCCCTTTTATCCACTTCTACTGTCAGTTCCATAACCAGTGAATAGTTATTAGAGATGAAAGGCTATTCTACAGTAAAAAAAAAAAAAAAAAGTTCTGAGGAGTGATGCTAGAGGGTGTCCTTTTTTCTTTCACTCTTTTTCATTGCCATCTCCATTACTCTGCTACTGTTCAATATTTTTAAGGATAAACAAGTTCATATCTCTGAATAGGTCCATCTCGTGGCCTTTCTGAAACATTTTCTGAGGAATCACTGGTAGTGTGTGCACTCTGAGGTGTAGCTTTTGTTACTTGGGCTCTGAAGTTTCCTTGATACAGCCCCACTGACAACTCTGCACCATATTGCTCACAGCGTGCGTTGTTTTCTCTAACCTCAAACAACAGTTTTTGAGTGACACAGAAACTATCTACAACTGTGTTTTTAATTAAACGTTTAAAAATATTATTTAAATGCTACCTGACTCCATCTACCGTCACAATGTTTTTTTTATGGACTAATTACTTATTATTAGTAGTAGTAGCAAGACGAAAGATCATCCAAACTCCACTTTTCTCCTTCATGCAGGTAGAGAAAAAAAAAATGTGGGTTAAAATAAAAATAATCAGTGATGCTCTTGTTATTGGTTAGGGTTTTGTTTGTTATTCAAGTGACTGAGAAACATTTCTCGGAGTGTGAATTCAGTTCCTTAAGTTATTCTGAAGTTCTTGCAAAGTTTGTGACTGTTGTTTGTGAATTTTTCTCATTTTCTCTTCGGTTTATACTAAAACTATTATTATTATTTTATTCTCTATTTTTTTTACTTCCAGGGAAATACATAGTCTCCTGTCTTCTACATTTTTCAGCTGTCAGACTAGCAATGCGTGCAGGTGAATCATGCTGCCCAGAGACCAGGCACATGCTAGATTTATAATGTTCATTCTAGATAATAATAATAATAATAGCATGTCAGTTTACAATAAGCACAAGGTCACCCTTTAGACAACACACAACATTGAAATCCCTAGTTCAGGTTTGGTGAACAGTTGTAAACAGTCCTTTCCAGATCGTGGCAGCAGGGACATTCTGAGGCACAAAGTAACCTCTTGTCAAAGTCATATCCCCTATAACTCCATGATACAAGCATGACGGCTCCTTAAAGAACAAATTGCATCAACTGTCTCATTTTCCACATGGATGCCCTTTTCAAGAACTACACTGCCCTACAAAGGCAAAAGACCTTAACTCGCCAGAGTAGAACGGAGAAAAATGACTTTAACATTTTTGTGTTGTCCAGCTCAATGAATTCTGTGCAGAATGTTGCAAATGTGGCAATACTTGTGTTTTTAATGAAGTTATTTATATACAAAAAATAATAAGGTAAAATTTCATAATAATATGGGGTCCTGCTAAAGCAAAAAGAATTCACTTCCATTTGATCCCTCACTTGTTTCAGTGATCAACGGTTGCGGACAAGGGCAAACGCGCCACAAACGGCCAAAACGCTGCAATCACGGGAATGATGCAAAACCAAAAACACACAAACACACAAACACATAAAACAAATGCAACAGAAAAATGCTGCAATCACAGAAACGAAGCAAAAGCAAAAACTTACAAACCCACAAAACAACTGCAAGAGAGAAACGCTGCAAATTCACTCGCCAGGCCGCTAGGGCGACCCGACCTCAGGGATGGACCAGTCCTGTGGGACCAGACCCGATAGACATGAAGAAGAAGAAGAAGAAGAAGAAGAAGAAAGTTGACTGAGTTTTGGAGAGGAGAGTAAAAAGGTACGTTTTCCTTTATGTCTTTTTTAAACACTTGGCCGTAATCTTTTATAATAATTATAATAGAATAGAATAATATAATAATTATTATAATATTATATTCTTCTATAATATTATATTATTATAAAATATAATATAATTATATTATAAAAGATTACGGCCAAGTGTTTAAAAATGACATAAAAGAAAACGTACCTTTTTACTCTCCTCTCCAAAACTTGGCCAACTTTCTTGTTCTTCTTGTTCTTCGTCTTCTTCGTCTTCTTCTTGTTCTTCTTCTTCTTCTTCTTCTTCTTCTTCTTCTTCTTCTTCTTCTTGTTCTTCTTCTTCTTCATGTCTTTCGGGTCTGGTCCCACAGGACTGGTCCATCCCTCAGGTCGGGTCCCCCTAGTGGCCTGGCGCACTTCCGTTTTGTCGAGTGAATTTGCAGTGTTTCTCTCTTGGAGTTGTTTTGTTGTTTTGTGTGTTTTTAGTAGTTGCAACATTTTTCTTTGGCATTTGTTTTGTGGGTTTGTAAGTTTTTGCTTCTGCTTCGTTTCTGTGATTGCAGCATTTTTCTGTTGCTGCGTTTTTCTGTTGCATTTGTTTTATGTGTTTGTGTGTTTTTGGTTTTGCATCATTCCCATGTTTGCAGCGTTTTGCCGTTTGCGGTGCGTTTGCCCTTGTCGGCCACCGTAGTGATCCCTATATAAAATCAGTGTATTATAATAATAATAATAACATCATAACATACATGAAATCTAGTGATCATAGCACAGTTAGGTTAGCAGTTTGGTTTTGTTTGTCAAGTAGCAACTAATTCTTATTATTTTGAAATCTTTCTTACCTTGATTCTTGTTCTGCGTTTTAAAGCCATCTCCACCAACATTTTACCTCACAAGCAATGGGCCATTCTTAACAGCTAGCTGCAACACTATTTGCCTGAAAACCTTATTAGAGCTACTGTGTGTGTGTGTGTGTGTGTGTGTGTGTGTGTGTGTGTGTGTGTGTGTGTGTGTATGTCAGAAATGCTTTGATGACAGATATTAATGATTAATGATTACCACGCTGTAGTTACGGCGGTAACACCGATGTATTACATAGGAATAAGACCGTAACACCAGAGCTTCAAGAGTACCTTAACTCTGCAGTACTGTTTACCAAACTAAAGGCAGAGTAGCTTAACTCAATTTGAGTGTTCAGAGTGCAGCAAAACCAAGGCAGACTGGTTTTTCTGGGAGTTTACGACAACCCACAAATTTCTCCAAAAAACGACAAAATTGACTCGACATATTTGTCCTCATGATGAAGCAGATATTGAATGTTCCAAAAATGACAACAACAAATTTTCTGCCAAAATTTAAGTTAAGGTCTTTTGCCTTTGCACAACAGTACATTGCTTGTTTTCAACGCATGCAAAGCTAGAATGAACAGTGAAGCAACATCTTTGTTTTCTGGTTACCATTTCTTTAGTTCATGTGCATTGATTTAACTATCAAAAGGTTATAAAAGATACTCACATATTTTTTCTTATAACAATCTCACTCTCACAGATCCCCCCGTCTTATTATAATGAGGAACATATGTTGATGCTTTCCACTTCATTATATTTATTTCAGCTGAAATCGAAGGTGTGTTATTACATTTTGTGCACCTCTCTCCAGCCTACCGTTTGAAGAAATGCTCTCCTCCCCCTGCTGTGGACAATGCAGAGGTGATCTATGAAGATGAAGATTTCCAGATAGGTAATAAACCTGATTAACATTACGACCCTTTGATACAGAAAAACATTGGTTGACAATAATGAAACTGAAAGTATTTTCAAAATAATAATAACCATTCACCACAATAAAATAATCTTCACAACAGTTTTACTTATACCAAGACAGCTGAGTCTGCATGATAAATTTAGCTAATTTAGCAATTTCAGTGACATTGTTTTGTAAATTGGGCGACATTTGTCTAAATACAGCAGGCTAGCGTAAATCTGTCACTGTTCATTTTATTTTGCTTTATTCGCTGAGATGAGCTCAGTGTACCACTGTGTGTGCATGTGATTCTGGGTCTGTGACACACAGGAAGAAACAATACAGAGACTGATTCACAAAAGAAAATTGTTCATCATTCTTGTTTGTTTGTTTGTTCTTTTTTGTACAATGACTCAAGTAACATACAGAGGACTACTATCACTTGATTGTAATGACAATATAGCATCCATTCTATCAGTTGTGGAAACCAAAAATGCAATGGCTGATAAACACTCTGGCAACCTTTTTCTTTTGTTTCTCTTTTTTTTTTTTTTCTTTTACTGACAGTTCTACGAGGCTGTAAAAAGTCAACATATTGGCAGAAATGGAATATAATACTCATAGATATGTTTTCATTAGTGTATAATTACCTGAAAATAAGAATTTTTGTGTTTTCGTTATCTTAGAATGAGACATTTTTTATCTACAGAGTCCGCCATGTTGAACCGCCATGTTTCTACAGTAGCCCAGAATGGACAAACCAAACACTGGCTCTAAACAGGGCCTTTCACGTTTTTTCGCATGTTTGCAGGTAACCATAGTTTCTGCTATATTCTTGGAAGACAAGTGGTATTAAGTTTGTGCAATCTGCAACTTGACCACTAGATACCACTAAATCCTCCACATTTGTCCTTTAAGGATAGCAATTTTTTCGGACATTCTATGTCAGTTGCGTCTCTTTGCATCCAGTGCAGAGGTAGGTTTGGGATGCGTTTTGTGTAGCTTTGCATTAACAGGGGCAAACAGCTGGCTTCATCAATGGAGAAAGCCTTCCAACATCTCTAAAACTGTCTTAATGGCATTGACAGTAAATCTTTTTAACTGGCAAGCTAGTCTCCAGTACAGTTAGATACTACCTTTTATTAAGTGTGTGAAGCAACAACTGCATTATTAGTACCAGGCCCCTACAATGCTATTTGTGGTCTATAAATAGCACTATTGCATTAACTAACTTATTTGACAACAAAGTCTTGTTTTCTATTTGTATTCTCAAAATTATATTAAGCTAGGCTAAACATCATCTTGGGCCAGCCTGTTTCTAGAAAATGTACTGTGTTGAAATGTAACATCAAATATGTTCTCCCAAGCTTTTGAAAAACATACATTTTCGGAGAAATAATCGCTTGTCAAGTTCTCCTTCTCCCTCAGCTCTCTTGTTATGTGATTTGCTCAAAGCATCTTACTCTTAGGTTTGGTGACCTTTTAGATCAGGAGCTGTAATTTAAAAAAAAACAAAAGCAGACATTTCATGAAACCCCAGCAAGATCAATTTACCCTGCCAGTGGTATGCAGAGCCTAGTAGCTTCTGGCAAAGTATATAATCATTTGTTTATAGAAAACTTACATTTTGAAATGTCATTGTTTTATAAATTCAGAAAAGATTTTTGAATGAATTTTTGATTTGGGTTTTTGTTTTGTTTTTGACCCTTTAAAGAAACATTTACCATGCATTAGTTAAATTCCAGGGTCATAAAAGACTTCATTAGCCCTCATATTGATATTTAAAAACATTTCATTAGATATAATGTTCCAAACAGGACACAGACAAATACAACAGTGAGAGCGATAGCGTTTCTCCAGAGTGTTGATTTACAAAGATGACGTCCAATTATTGCCACTTGCACTACCCCACGGCAGCACCAGACCTGCAGCTGTTCAAAGAGTGAAACCATTCTCTGTGAAAGAGTAAAGACCAAAGGGATAATCATACATAGGAATCTCACAAGCCCCCAGAACATTAGAGTGCATGTACTGTGAATTTTACATTCACAAAACCTGGCAGAAAAGAGTACCTCAGAGACATCACCAGCTTTGTTGTTGGTTGGTCTAATAGCCAACTATACAATCTTTGAACAAGCTCAAGAAAAGGTTGAATGTTCTTGTTTTCTCTGTTCAACAATTTTAAACTCTGTGCACCATACTGTGAGCTGTATGCCATGGCATGCCTCCTGGGCAAAATTTGAAGCATGCATTACGCTACCCTGACAGGTAGTAGATCTCCACCCGTTTTAAGATGGCAGGCCTGTCGAACTTTGGCTCTCAAAATGGAGCAATAAAACTGACATGTTGACTCTTTTGGAGCTCTCTACTTACAAAATAATCTTTAAAACTAGTCAAGACTTTTTCAAGACTTTCTTTATACAAGACTTAGATTGCACTGAGAGAGTTATTGGTTGCTGTAATTGATCCCCCTGTCAATACTAGCTGTAAAGAGAAACCCTCCTATCATAAATCAAATGTAACAGATGGGGCCAAAATCCACAGTCTTTGTCCCATGCAACAGTGTACTCTAGTTCAGGCAAAGATGGCTTTACGCTATATATGTCCAAAATCATCAAGTCTTATTAGTACAAAAAAATCCTAGGTATGTGAGTATTAACATAGACATCTGGGATTTTTATTTGTACAATCATCAAAACTCAACCCTGCAGGAACACTTGTTAAATGTATATAATTTTTTTCCCCCGTTAGGTGATATTGTGAAGTACCGCTGTTTACCTGGATACACACTGGTTGGAAAGGCAGAGCTTATGTGTAAACTCAATTCCCACTTGCTTTTTGAAGCACCACCCCCAACATGTCAAGGTAAGGCAACAATAAATCTGACTCCTTAACCATACAGCATACTGTTTATAAATAAAATAAATTTAAGTTGTAAATAAATCTGAATAGATTTGTCCTCACAACTGAGCTTATAAAAGTTATACTGTAAGAATCCTACATACGTCAGAGCATTTTTCTGATGTAGACATTTATAGCTTCTTTAATTTTTTCATTGTATGTGTGTTCTTGTATTTTATTTGTTTGTAGAACAGAAATGTTTGTTTGTGTCAACATTATAGGTGAAATATTAACTTGAGAGCGCTGTAGTTTCTAACTGTCAAAACACCTTTCATGAAAATAGTACCCCAGCGACTTACCATTGCATGTGCATAACTTTAGGGAACTCACAAGAAACATATTTTAAAAAACATCAGAATCAATATAACAGAGGATATGATATCCTGAGATATCCTGACATTTAATTTGACTCAGACTCTAAAATCCCTGGATTCCTACACTTTAAATAATGCAACTTGAGGCATCTTTTTGTTAGATCCTCCCTGCCTGGTAAAGACCCAAGTCTTTCCAAACCCTCAATTTTGTTGACAAAGTTCTCTCCAGGGCCACAGGAGATATTATACAGCTGTTTACACAGGCTGAATGGTTCTCCGCATGAATATTAAGCTTGCATTCAAACCATGGTCTAGAAAATATCTCTCTTTACACCTTTGAGCGTTGTTCCAAAGGAATTAATAAACAGTACTTCACATAAATTGATGGAACCTACATCATCATTTCTTCTAAACTGGATAATTCTCAATTTATGTTAAAGAACTTTCAACACCCTCCATGCTAATGTGCACATAAATAGCCAATAATGTTATTTTGTCTGTTTAATGATAACACTAATATTAATCTTAATACCACTACAGATATACCATATATTTAAAAAATGTAAATGAAATCCATTAAAGAAGAGATACAGTGCTCCAACAAAATGTATCCTTAAATGCATCTAGAAGAAAAATTGTGTTTTGAGCAAATGGTGCAACACATGTTCTTACGAAAACCCAGCTGTGCATAACCAGCTCAGCACCATTTGTCACATGTCATTTTGCAAAAATTTAGCAAATCATTAACAGCAGACATTTTCATTTGTCAGAGCAGGAAAAGCACATGTGAAAATGTTTTTATTAAAGATTGCTTAGTTCGATCAAGTGTCTGAGTAAGCCATGACAGTGAGTCAGCATGCACAATACCAGGATCCTGGAACTAGTGCACCTAAATGGAATGCAGTCATTTTTTAATGTTATCACTTACAATTGTGTTTTTCCTGCAGTGACAAGCCAAAATGTTGGCTGTGAGAAAGGTCTATTAGGCAGATTGAGGAAAGTCAATACACCAAAAAAACATCTTAAACTATTTCAAACATCAAAAAACTATAAAATGTTGTGCCAAGGTGAATCAAAGTTTATTTGTTTTGAAAACCTTTTGTTTTATGAGAAATTAAATAGCAGCAATGCATTGAGAATGATTTTACCCTATTGGCAGTTTTGTATCTGTTTGTTGAAGCTGAGAATGTTAGATAAAAACTGAAAACATGTTCCACTTTGTTATTTTCTCATATGGTTCAGAAGTTGTTGAATATTTTATTAAGTAGAGCAGCAGTTCATTGTGGCAGGCAGTTGAATGTTGGTTTTAAAACTAAAGAGACCTCAGGAAGGAGGCACTTTATTCTTTCAGTTAGCGGTATTAAAACATCAACATTAGGAAGTGCTGGTAGCCGCTCCTGTTATTTCTATGAGACATCTGATTTGAATATCTCTTTAGAGAAAATTCTTCAGCTAAGTGTTTGCCTTTGCCATCATGTGCGATGAGCAGAGTGTCTTTTCTTTTATAAAGCAAGAAAAAAACTCTTACAAGAGGACATGAAACCAAAGTGTTCCACCACACAACTTAGAGTTCAGCTCCTTTTGTGTGAAATTCTGTAACTTACCAGTCATCACACAGAAACATTGGGAGAGGCTTCCACTGTCTCGTCATGTGCTCAAGGCGAATACATAGGCACAATTTTAAAGGCAGATTCCACACATTCTGTTTGAACCCACAGAAGACCCCTGCACATTTAGAATAAGTAATTGCTAATCTAAACAAGTGTTTTTTGTATAAAACATTTTCCACAGGTGGGGGCTCTTTTTGCATGTGTGTTAGAAATAGGATAGATAATGAAAGTAGAAGCAGATGAACAACAACAGAGGGATGGATGGAAAGGACGCAGATTGGAAAAGAGATTTCCTACAAGTAAAAAATGTGCAAAAGAAAACTTTTCTTTATCTGACTGGCTTTTGTCTATTAACTCTCCAGCCCAGTGCCCAGCCAATGAGGAGCGTTCTTCGTCATCAGGGGTGATACTAAGCCCCGGGTTCCCTAGCAACTACCCAAACAGCCAGACATGCTCCTGGTTGCTACATATGGTTTCAGGTACAGTGTGTGTTAAGGTGGTGCAACCAGTATGAATAGGGTTATGTGTGAGGGATTGAAATAACTGTGTGTGTACATTTATATAAGTGCGTGTTATATTGTGGGAGAGACTGCCTACTGTCTACAACAGTGTATGGAAGTGCTGGTATATGCAAAATGCAGAATGTGTCAAAGCGATGTTGCAAGGCTGTGTGTGCATATATGTATGTGCATCTAAATAAAATATCTCCCTACATTGGTGTGTGTGTGTGTGTGTGTTTGTGTGTGTGCATGTGCGTGTAGGTGTGTGTGTGTTGGTGTGGTATGCATTGCACTTTATATTGCATATTGCAGATTTTTTATGTGGTTGTAAATGATTTTGTCTTGTTTCCAAGGTTACACCATCAATATCTATGTAGAGATGTTCCACAGTGAGAAACAGTTTGATGAACTGGAGATTTTCGATGGTATGTAAAGCTTTTCCTCTCTAATTTTGCTACACTTACACCAAGACACACAAATACACGCATATACACACAAACTCACAGTTGCATGTTGGTATGGTTGTGGTATTGCTCCCCCCAGGAGTTCCAAGTAGGTTGTGTAGCAGTCAAGTGTGCAGATCAGATTGTGTGTGTGTGTGTGTGTGTGTGTGTGTGTGTGTGGAATTTAACTTTCTTCTTATTTATTTAGTTATTTTATTGATATTGTATTAACTTAATATTAACTCTGTATAACTATAAAATTAAAAACTAAATTTGCCAAGTGACAATTAACAATGTTAGAATCCTTGCCAGGATCAGAATATAACTGCTTAAAGTCATTATGGTGTTCACAGTGGTCACAGCTTAGTTTGTGAAACAGCAAACAACATTACAAGCCAACAACACAAGTGAGATCTTACCAACTTTTGAAATATGTGATCTGTGATCCACCAGCAGGGATGAGTTTATATACTACTACTAGTATATGGATCCCACTTATCTCTGTCTATTTGTATTTATTTTGCCCTGTCCTAAACAGACTGTGGCTGAATTTGATGTCGCTGACAGCAATGCCATCATTTCAGAGTAGGCGGCTGTAATTTTTTCTGATTTGTGAAATCTTTTTAAGGTTCATATATGCAAGTTGTGTCTTACTAAACAAAACCAATCTTCTGTAGGGCTGCAACACTGCTTGGTTCAAACAACAGACATTAGCACAGGTGGTGGTTTGTGGTCTATAAACAATATGCTTCAGTCAGAATACATGTACAACAAGTTATGTGAGGTACTTAGCAACTTAATGATGCTGTCACCCTTGTGTGCTGCATGTCTCAGAAACAATAAAACACATTCTGACTGCAGCATATTGTTCATCTCCGTCTCAGGTTAGGTTATAATTCATCCTGGAGATTGTTAGATTATTGGAATGTGTGAATCCACTGAAACACGCATATGAAACAAGTATCTTTTGTCTAATTTTATCCCCAGGATAACCTGCCTTTTCGCCTCAACAAACACACATTCCACTAAACAATTACATATTGTATATGCATGTGTTTATAGGAGCACATGAAAATATACAGTATACTGTGCACACAGCAGTTCTTAAGTCTCATTCATTTATTTCTCTAGGATCCTCAGGACAGAGTCCTTTGCTTGTTGCTCTAAGTGGAAACCACTCATCTCAGCTGAACTTCACATCCAAGACGAACCAGCTCTATCTACGATGGTCCACTGACCATGCAACCAACAAAAGAGGATTCAAGATACGATACTCAGGTACATACAATATCTTTCATTTCCGATCATTCTTTTTGTTCATTAATCTGTTTATAACCATTATGGTTAAAAGGATAATATCAGTCTTTTATCTGTTATCTTGTATCTACAGGTCAGTCTAATCCTTGTTCTAAAGGTTTTTTTGGTTTAAATTAAATATAATAATGCATTACTTGCCTGCCAGAGAAGAAAGCTTGTGGAAACAAGGCTTTAATTCTGCCTTCACACAAAAGACATGACAATTTACCCACCCTGCTAATGTTGGCTGAAGTGATTTGTTTCTACTAGCATGAATAACCAGCCCCAACATTTTTATTTTCATAAAAATGAATTGATGCATCAAGGATGTACCTGAGCCATGATCATTTAGAGAACACTTCTAATTGGAAACGTTCTTTTTAATGCATCAGGCTAATTAAGAGCGAAAAAGAAGTCAAATTTGTTAATTTGACAATTTGTTTCAGATTGCGAGTATTATCTCTGGAGGTAGTGCCGACAACATGGTGTTCTGACCATTAGCTTTGTTCGATTCGGGTTGTCATGGTTTTTTCTTAATCATGGGTTTTAACTTGTGAAGAATTTGTTGAAGATGACCACCAATCTTAGTCATAGAAAATACAATAAACAGTGACACTGATCCAGTTTGGGCTTGAGAGGAGTGAGTCACAAGCTCCGTCTCCTGGCTCTCTATACTGAAAAAAAGGTGTAATTTTAGTTTGCGGGTTATATCAGCACAATGGCCTGAAGTAATAGTATTGCCTTTTCCCCATAGTGTTGTATTACCCTGACAAAGGCAGCTATACAGGGAACATGAATTTATAGTAGAGATTTTTCAGTTACTACACAATTACCATACACTATTAATGCTCAGGTGTGCTTTGTATTGAATCACTTCATACATATAGAGCAGTATGTATTGTATGTGTACTGTATGTTTATCAATTGCTTATAACATGGACTTCTTCTTTGAAGGGCTGTTTGAGGTTTAAGACTTGATTTGAGGTAACAAATAAGGTTAAGGTTTTTCCTACAGCCGGTTGCTTTACCTGTGTAATGGCATTTTTCTTAATTGTATCATCTTCATAAAGCCACTGCCTTTCTATAAGCAACGATAGCCTTGTCGCTTGTGTTTATTGCTTCATGGTGATTCACTATGAAATTCCACTCCTCTCTTTCTGTCTCTGTTTCTCTACTGTATGCACACTTCAATGTGCATAGGAGGCACTTTGGTCAGGCTGTAAATAAGTATGGGAGTCAGTAAGTTTTAAGTAGGTATCAGCAATTGTAGTGGCATCAATAACATTTATCTCAGCATATTTTTACAGCATATGTAAGAACAAAGCTATTATATTTTTCACATAAACATTTAAGGTTGTTGTTCTAGTCAGCGAAGGCTATTTCAAATGGAACCAAAGCCAAAATAAACACGTTTGTCAGTATCTTAGAGAGATTTTGTATAATTATGGGCTTTTATTTGACACTTAAATTTAACTTAAACACATTACTTGGTTATTTGTAAGACTAGATATACAGTGATGGTAGTTGGAGCTAGCCAAGGCATTTGGATGAAACTGCCTATCATGCCAGTGGGACCAGCGACTGTAGTTTAGCCTAAGTAGATACAATGCAGCTTTATGGCTGTCACAAGCTGCTTGGGGGAGGGTAGGATTCAAGTACGGTCCATTACTGTAGGTCAGAGAATGGTGTGGAGGAGTTTCAGATATAACTAGTAGCTATTTGAAAGACAGATAGATAGAGTAAACCGGGATGGCAGCTGGACTGCTGAGCAGGCCGTAGGCTTCAGATTAAACTTCCTAAACAACCCAGTGGGGCCAGCCAGTGTTGGTTAGTCTAGCAGAGGCAGATGCAGCTCAATTTAATACTGATGCTTTTATATGACCTACATAAGTACACCAGACCATCGGCGAGAAGATTGCCAATTTTTTTGTTGCTGCGTCACATTGCACAAGACGTGATTTTACAACACATAGAAAAGACAGCTTCAGCACACACTTGATTATCCTGTCTGCATGTGCACAATTAGAGTATTCACAATATATTGTTTATGGAATTTCTCTACAACACTTCTCTCTTCAACAGTTTCCCACTGGGATTAATAAAGTCTTGCATCTGTCTTTGTCACTATTACAACCTAGTTAAATATAGTTGTGAAGAGCCCATTTTTCAAAGATAATTTGAGAATTATTTTTTTATGCTGGAATTGTAATTTAAATTTGTAGATTGAAATGGAAGTAATTTCTAACCAGACAGTCTCAATAAAATTGCCAGTGCAATTCAGTATTAAACAACAACTGATCCTCAGATGTGGAGGCCCTAGGATAAAATCTTATCCAAGAGGAGTTCATGTGCCTTTATTAAAATTATAAACATTTAGTATCAAGGAATTGAAGACTGGGCCTCCATTCCCTGACTGAATATTTCTGCCACCACAGAATAATTGTGTTAGAGAGAACTGCTATGATAAGATATAAAATTAGTGGTGTGTGTATAGAACAGATTTTAGAGGAGGTAGAGTGAGCAAAGGAATAGCCATATATGTGTGAGAGAAAGACATGCAGTAAGATACTTCTTGAAAAAAAAAAAAAAAAAAGGTTTATTAATGAAAAAAAACTGAAAATTACATAATGAATCTGTTGTCCTGACTGAAGTGGGAAAGTCATTCCTCCAATGTGAAGCCAAAAGGGAGAAGAGCCAAGACCAGGTGGAGCAATGACCACATCCGCCAGAGAAGGGAGAGCCAAGTGGCCTATTGCAGCTTGTTCTGCTGGATGTTTAGATTGTTCTCCATGCTCTAGCAGTTATGCTTTTACCATCCAGTCCAGGAAGACAAAAACGTTGCATTACTTGGAAAGGTTTCAGAATAAGTTGCTTATTTTCTACCAGTATTCTGTTGGTGTTTGTAACTTGTTCACAGTATTGCAAATTGTTCTATCGGGAATAAACTCATTGACACTGTTGCTAGCTGTGATGCTAAAGGGGACATAGATGCTAGTTGATATGTCTTTTATCCAAAATGTGTGATAATGGGAGCATTAGTGCTTTAATGTTTCCAGACTCATCTTTTTTCACAAAAAAACCCCCATCGGAGCTAACCTTCAATTGTGTCTCCTGCTAATTATGTTCAGCATTCAAAATAATTCAGATTAGACTGGTAATTGAGTTTCCTGTGAAGTGAGAACACATTTCATGTGTCTTCCTCTGTGTTCTCTGTCTCCCCAGCTGCCTACTGTAGCATCAATGATCCTCCACTGAATGGGGGCGTGGTCAACCAAACCAAACTCCGTCCAGGCAGCAGACTTCAGTTCTATTGTAACCGCGGTTACTGCTTGGTAGGCTCAAGCAATGCCACCTGCAGGCTCCACCCCAATGGGCTTTTCCAGTGGGATGCACCACCACCTTTTTGTCAAGGTAAAAATTAAATAAACACATTTCTCATCATCTAAGTGATAAAGAAAAAAGTTTGAGCATTTGTTTTGCACATTTTTCTCCTTGCTGCAGCCATCTCATGTGGGATCCCTCATTCGCCGGGCAACGGCAGCTTCCATGCTAACCAGTACACTGTTGGTAGCCAGGTCACCTATCATTGTAACCATGGTTACCACCTTGACCCAGGTGTTCCAATGACAGCAGTGTGTTTGGAGGATGGAAGTTGGAGTAATGTTGCCACAGCCCCCAGATGTCTACGTAAGTTTTACTATGATTTAAGGGCAGTCAAGAGTATGAGTTGAGAATCTTAACTCAAAGTCCACTTACTAGCTTTTTTTCCAGAACTTTTCACTTCATCTCAGTCTTCCTCAGCGGATGGAGTGGAGTTTGCTCAGTTTTCATGGCTCTCATTGACAACTGAGCATATTCAAACTGCTGAGGAAAACCATGAGATGCTGTTGAAATCCGTGGATAATGATGCTAGTAATAATGGGGCCTTGAGTCACGATTGGTTTTTATTAAAATACTGTTTCTAAGGTTAAGAGTAAAATTTCATAGTCAGTCATAGTCATAGTATGACTGATGAAAAAAGTATATTTCAGTATTTCAATCTACATTAATGAGAACTAACTTTCGTAATTTCACAATTGAGTGATGTGTGATACAATAGTCTGGATTATATGATATTTAAAAAACGGCTCATGTCCATTTAATTTAATGGCAGTGTGGAGAGTTGGCATCCATTAGTTTAAGTTTATTTATTTAAAATGTAAAAAACAGGATGTTAATTTTTATCACTCACCAGAAATCACCAAAAAAATTCTGGATTGTATTCTTATATGATGAAATTGTATTTTTTACATTGTTGTCCAATTTCATAGAGAAATAGTTTTAATTTCTGATGACATTATAAGATTATAGATTTCTATCATCTATAATTTATAGATCATAGAGACTGAGGTTTATTTAGTGTTGGCATGTATGCAATCTGAAACCATATGGCAGTAAATAAATTTAAAACCTTAACTGAATATTTTATCTTAATTTGATTACATTTTATTTTCCAGCGATCCACTGCCCCAGCATTGAGGGCACCTTGTCAGATCATATGACCTACCGCCTGCTGTCTGGAAGGCTGGGAGAGTTTGGCTCTATGGTGATGCTGGAATGCTCAACGGGGTACTATTTAGGTGTGGGGCATCGTACTCTTCGCTGCCTTGCCAATGGGACCTGGGAGGGATCAGATGACCCAGCTACATGCAAGAGTAAGTATTGAAACAAACATGAACACCATCATGACTATCCCAAAATAAATCACAACTGCTACTGTCTGATTTTTTTTGCTCAAACTCATCTGACCCCTTCCCCTCTGAACAAGATAATAAAACTCTGCTATGATATTATGTTTTGTGTGCTTGGTCACCTCCCTTGGAACTCAGGGTGACATAACTTTATTTATGAGTTTACACAGACTGAGAGCCATAGCTAGGATTTTATTATGAGAGGTTCCTCTTAAACCCAGTTGATACCAGCATGTATTCACACACATGAAATGCGTCACACTCCTTTGCATTCTACACTGCACGGATCATTTTTAACTTTTTATATAATGTTAGTTACCGAAATCAACAGATGATAGAGTTAGCTTCTATTGTGCCAAGAAAGCAAGTGCTTTTCATTTTGTTTGAGTGGAAGCATGACCATGTATAATACTCTCTGTCACAGGTCTAGTAGGTTTGATTGTAGGAAAATGGCAGCTTGAGAGGCAGCTACTTTCTGTGTGTGTTTATGTGTAATTGTTTATCCATTATTCTTACTACTTCTTTTTTAAAAGAGTTACCAGGGGTATCTTAACCACCTTGAGACTGTGATAACTATTTTAAGCGAAATGCAGCCTGTGCTTCATTAATGTGGGGTTTATGTGGGCAATAGTAGTGTTAGTGTGAAATGTGCCTTTGCTGCTTATTTCATCAAGGGAAGTTGTAAGAGAGCATTGTGACTTTGAAAACTTTCCAATAGGCTACAGAATGTCTTAGCATTGCATTATATATGACATGCCAATGAATAAGTTTAAAAGAATATTAAAAATTGACGTCTATCTTATATTAGACCAGTGGTTTTCAAACTTTATTTTGCTTCATTTTCAATTTATTTCTTCATTTTTTTCATGATCAAGTATATGAGTTGACCTGCAGCAGCTCTGAGAGATTTGGCAATGTAACAGAAGTGTCTATTCTTCAAGTTGGCCAGGGGTTTGCAAACAGTGTCTCTAAGGATATTTGGGAAAAAAATCTTAAAATTTCTGACCTAAATTTATTTCAGCCAGGTATTGTATGGAAAATTGAATTGACAGTGTTTAAATTCAGGGTGACAGCCTACGAAGACTTGGCAATATCACCCAGTACATATCCAGATTTTTGAAAACACAGAAAAAATGGTTGTAAAAAGCAGCTGTTGCCTTATAGTGTTATGTGATATCTTGTTTCCAGTTTCATTCCGTAATAACATGATCTTATCATGTTTATTTTATTATTTAGTCATCTCCTGTGGTGAGCTTCCTTCTCCACCCTTTGGGACCAAACTGGGGACGTTGACCACATTCGGAGCAACTGCAATCTTTATGTGTAACCATGGTTACACGCTGGTGGGGTCACATGTCAGAGAGTGCAGCGCTAACGGGCTGTGGAGTGGTGCCGAGACCAGGTGTCTAGGTAAGGCCCATTAAATGTGATGTACACTGTACACCGTTGTCGTCTGTCCAAGGCCACTTTGGGATAAAAATGAACAATCTGAAATACATTCAGCATGTTGAATGAATCATCGAAACCAAAGGAAGGGGCACATTTATTGGGAATTAAATGTAATAAGTGTAAAATTATAGGCTTATAATACAGCATTCACTCATATTACAACACATTTTAGAGTGTAATGCCAAATAAGTTCTATTATGTAACTTTCAGAAAACCGTTGTTAATGGCGACACCAGCCGCCATTGTGAACCAGTGAACTGCAGTCAGCGTCCTGTTGCTCGTGCTGTGTACACAGTCCGTATGTGTGAGCGAGCAAGCATCCATGCTACTAACTAGCTTATTGTTGTTTATAAATAACAACACCATAAAGCAACCGAGGCCAGACGCACAACCTGCAGCCAAGTCACAGCAAGCCAGCCAAACCCGGCTTGTCTTACAGTTAGTTGGTCGCCCCTGCGTTGCACCGCTCTTGCTTTGTACCCTTTCATTATTTATTGTTGGCTAAACTCGACACTGTTCATAATACATAACTTAACATCATGATTCACGTTAGCTGGGGAAGTAACTTCGCATTCTAATGGCAACTATCATATTCTAACATTATCTGGCACCGGCTGCCTCGCAACACCCGCCAACAGTGTAACTTGCGACACCTCCTGCCATGGTCCTGCTTGACTGCCATTGCCAATACTGTTGTTGCTGTGCACCTGTCTGTCTGTCTGTCGCGCTCCTCTCTCTCTCTCTCTCTCTCTCTCTCTCTCTCTCTCTCTCTCTCTCACCCCAACTGGTCGAGACAGACGACCACCCACCTAGAGCCGGAGGATCTGTCCTAGGTTTCTGCCTTTTAACAGGCAGTTTTTCCTTGCCCTTGTCGCCAAGTGCTTGCTCATGGTGGTACTGTTGGGTCTCTGTAATTAATGTTAAAGAGTTCGGTCTAGACCTGCTCTATTTGAAAAGTGTCCTGAGATAACTTCTGTTATGAATTGGCGCTATACAAATAAAATTGAATTGAATTGAATTGAAAACGACAAGCCAGCCAGATCACCTAGCTAGCTGACAGTATTTTGCTATGTTAGCTACCTAGCACTTCGTAAGCTAGGTTTGCAGTTATGTTAAATGGCCCGTACTTGTATAGCGCCTTTCTAGTCTTCCGACTACTCGAAGCGCTTTATTCACCCATCATACAGTGATGAGGCCATCACAAAGAGAAAGTAACTCATTCATTCACGTTCATACACTGTTGCACAGATACACATATCTTGCTCAAGGACACTTCGACCTGCAGCAGGAGGAGTTGGGGATCGAACCGCCAGGATTCTGATTAGTGGACAACCCACTCTACCTCCTGAGCCTCACAGCCATAAGCTCCAATTTGTTTTGGACTGTGTTTTGTGGTGGGTTGCCAGTTGTTTGTAGATGTTAGTGAACTCCAATTATAAGCTAATGTTGGCTGTTGCACACTGTTGACTCTGTATGGAGCAAAGAGAGAAGTCACTCGGGAACCTGCATAAACCCCACATCCACATTTTCAATGAAAATCCGACCCACATCCCTACATAGAAAAGGGTAGAAAGTCGAGGATTTGTTAAGTTACATAGGGCATATGGTTGCTCACCTGGTAGAGCGGCTGCCCTACGTAGGCTGAGTCGTTACTGCAGCAGCCAGGGTTTGATTTATCAGTGGGAGCCTTCTTGGTTGTCTATGAAAATGCCTCAGCAGCCAAAAAAGTTGCACTCTTCTGTACAGTCATCGTACAAAACACGCCCCATGTTAGATAAATGGTTGTGATCGGCCCATCTGGATCCAGGACTGGGGGAAACGTATCTGCCAGAGCAAATATAACACAAGCTTGCAGATTTGTATGGTTCCCAGGCTAAATGAGATTACTATATCTTGCACAACTGGTGAATTGAGGGCTAAGCTGTGTGTGGGGCTTGTGTCAAAGACTTTTTGTAAAGACTTAATTTTTAATGGAAATGTGTGAACATTTTATACCTATGCTTTATTAATACATGGGGTTGCTACAGGTGTCTAGGTCCATGGAAATGAGACTAGCAATAAGTAAGATAAACTGTACACATGCCTCAGTAACTCAAATGATCTACTACTGAGACGTTTTATTACTTAATACATTAAGGACTTGATTTAGATCTTCAGTGAGCACTGACCAGAAATGATTAATCTTGATTTTACATGCACACTCTACTCCATTGATTCAGCCTTGGAGTTACATGCCTGAATAAGTAGCCTCATGCAGGATGCACATTTTATGGGATGAATATATAAATCAAGGTGTGTCCACCTTCTCATTATTATTCAGAGATTCTAATGCTATCAAATGTTGTCAAAATATACATCTGAGTTGATGTAAGAAAAGCAGAAGTCACTAAATCACAATTTAAACACTGCTACAACTGCATCTGGGTTAAATGCCCATTAGCTGTACCACATTTGTCAACACAGACACTATGCGCCAGGTTAGGGATTGAAAAATTGCACATCAGAATGTTATTACAGGTGATAAAATCTACAGATTTTCATTCAACCTAATGTGACCAACCTAGTGTGTTAGAAATTAAGCAACATGAAGTCCTGTCTGTTTTATTATTTTCTATCCTTTTAAACCTATTTTTAAACATCTGCTACCCCCAAAAAATAATGCATGCAATAATGTAAGTCTCACACTGACATGATCCATAATAATTTATACCCAAAATCACATTTTATAGAATTGTGTTCATATTTTATCAAAGAAATGTGTCTCTTTAAAGTGGGCACAACATGTGTTTCTTACAATTTGGAAAGGCTATAATTTGGACTATTTTAGTGTGTAACATTTCTCTGTCATTCAGAGGATACAATTATTGATGGCACAATAAATCCCAATTTGCTTCAGAAGAACCCTCAGACATGTTTACTGCTGTAAACACTTGGTATTCACAAAAAAACCTTTTGCATCTGGTGTGTCATAGTGATGGCAGCTTGGGTAAAGATTTTGAGTAGATGGTGTTTGGAAAAGTGGTCTCCAATGAGTTTTGCAAAATAATCTGTGTCCTAGATGCCAGTTTTTGCAGCATTTATCATCACGTATATACACAGAAAGGGTTTTAGATTATCTGATAAAAACTATATTAAATGCCAAATGAATCAAAACTGAGCTTCAGTCCCTTGAGCTCATGAGGCACAGAAACGTGAAGCAAGAATTGACTGTTAAACTTGGGTGATTAGTCTTTTAATAGCTGAAATGGTATTGAATACAATTCAATGATTCTCCACACCTAAGCTCTCAAGATGTGTTCTGCAATCTATGTGCTCAACTTTTAAGAAATCATGAAAGGACTTGGTACTCCAAGGCCACTTAGAGAACGCAGGCAAATCGTTTAAATGTGCTGATTTTAACAGACCTTTAGTGTATCTGTTATTGCTGCATGGTTAGGACTGCAGTCTAGTTGACATTGATTTGGAGTGGCATTAATGATGTCACTCCCCTACATTCAGAAGTTTAAGTATTGAGACAGCTCCTGTACATCCTTTGCAATAGAGGAAAAAGAAAAGCACTGAAAAACTGTCCTCAAGTGAAAGTACTGTTACATTACTGGAACTACTACTAGTGGTGTTATATTTAAGTATTCTTCTCAAAAACATCTCAGGATATTAAGTTACTCAAAATGGGAGAGACATGTAGGATCTACTTTCAACAAAGAACATTTGTCACATAAATTAAAAAGGTATGAATGGATATTGTATAAACATACAGATAAAGTTGGATTTTTTCAGTTAAAAGCACACTAAACATTTTTGTACACGCATAGAACACTTGTAGTTAGTATAAACTCCATCCATTTGGTTACTGTTTCGCCAAACCTTCAGTCTCCAAATTACTCTTAACTCCTGCGCTGTTCTGGTCAGTGTGGTCAACCCCTCCACACCCGTGCATGTTGCCCACACTAGGCTTTCTTGCTTGCTGCGGACAAAATAGAACAGACGTCGGTCACAGCAGATTGCGAGCCAGCCACGGAGCTCTGCTTTATGCCGCGTTCTGTCTGAACAACCCAACTAGTTAACATGGCCGCCAAAAGGAAGCATGCAGTGCTTTGAGGTGCTTCATGCAAATGAAAGGTCTGGATAGAGTCCGGAAAAGGAAGCGTGGGGTTTGGATTAAACAGCAGCAGACTTTGAGAAAATCCATCCAGCCAGATCGGCCTGACCAGCTCACCACTGCGGGTGCTGTCACCCCAGAAGGAGAGGGGAAGAGAGCCGGGATAGGAGCCATGCTGGACCAGCTTGGATTTAAGGCTGTTCCTGGCTAATGTCCGGTGGATGAAATGGTACTGGCCAAACAACAATAAATCTGCTCCATCAACTTCCTGGATCCTCGACGGATGGACAGAACTTCTGGACGGGAGGAGGCGGACTCTGTGTTCACATCAGTGATTCTTGATGCTCAGACACAAACAAAGTGGATGTTGTTTCTCAAATGTCAAACTTTTTATGTGAAGATGAAAGCCATATTATCATCACTATCTTGTTCCTGCTGTTTACCCCAGATGCAAATTGTATTTATATAAGCAACTGTATATATTTGTATAACTGTATATGTTTTTTATTTAATTTAAATTTTTATCTTTTTTATATGATTCCTTTATTTGTTATGTTCTGTATGTAGCTTTAAGGAATTAAAACTTTATTTGTACATCTTTGTTTTGTAAATTGACAAATAAATTACTTTGAAACATGAGTAGCTGTAATTTGTTACTTCCACCTCTGGTCGTTTCACAGTCTAACCGCTGAGACAATAAGCCAGAGTCGTTGTTTTATGGTCGTAACTACGGGGACATTGAAATAACACTGATGACTTTAAAGCCCATGACGAGGAAAGTGAGTTTAAGTTGTTTTTCATTATACTGCATTAATCTCTATCATTTTTTCTCTTTTAGCTGGCCACTGTGACTCTCCAGATCCTATTGTCAATGGCCACATTAGTGGCGATGGCTCTAGTTACCGTGACACAGTGGTATACCAGTGCATGTTAGGATATCGCCTAATAGGCACATCAGTTAGAATCTGTCAGCAAGACCATCGGTGGTCTGGAACAACACCTGTCTGTGTCCGTAAGTACAAAACTATTGTAGTTAATCTGCATTGTATGATGGTTTATTGCTCCTCAATTTAATGTGAATAGCTAAAAAGATGTTCCTATATAAAGCAAATGCATTTAACACAAGAATCTTAAAATGCATTTTAGGGTTTCTGGTGTTTAACTTGTTCTTTTAATGATTTTCTCTGCAGCATCTATATGAAAAGTATAATAATCTAAAAAATATATATCACAAAGCAAGTGGGTGTACCACAATGCTGCACATTATACTTTTCCACACCTTCAGTTTGTCATCATACTTTTCTCTACTCCCTCAGCTATCACCTGTGGTCACCCCGGCAACCCAGCCAATGGGCGGACCAATGGCAGCGAGTTCAACCTCAATGATGTTGTCAACTTCACCTGTAACAGAGGTTACATCCTCAGTGGAAATGCTCGTGCTCAGTGCCGGCTCAACGGACAGTGGAGCAGCCCCTTACCTGTCTGCAAAGGTCACAAACATGTGTATTTACAAAGAGTTACAGACGTATACCTTTGTACATCCCTGTAAATGCTTTAGTTGAATCAACTCTTAAGATTATAGGAGTTCATAGGAGCAAGGTGGTCTTGGTTTTTCCTCTGTTTCACCTCCGGTATGTGTTAAGAATAAAACAGTCAACCTCCTCAGATCCTGGAACTTGGCGAGTAAAATGTCATCATAACAAAATGGAATTGCAAAATGTCACAATAACAAAAATAAGACCCAGGCTGTACAAAAGAAAACTGGATTTTCCTTTAAAACCATGCATTTTAGATGGTCAGCATGTATTCAGTATTTGTTGGCCCGATTTGCTTCTAGCTACAGTATGTCAACTGGAACATTTTTGGCCGAATCTGCTGCCAGCAGACTGTAAAATTGAGAACTAAATAATTGTAGCGTAAACACACACTTAACATTGAGCTGTATTCAGCCACAATGAGTGTGGTGTGTGTGTGTGTCTTTCTCTCTCTAAATAGACATGCACACACAGCTGGGTACATGTCCAGAGACACGTTCTTCTCCTCTGCTAACCATGCGTGCTTGTTACACTACAAGCCTCCCCAGACCTCCGGTAGTGTTAACAGTTATGATATACTAAAACACACACAAACACACAGGCATCTTGCATAGTCATGAGAGCAGATCAATACAACATAGTCGCTCACATGGGTTTTCCATTGAAGGGATTCATCCTCCCTTGCTTGCTTTCTCTATCTCTCTTGCTTTTTTGGTCTTCTCCCTCTCCCCCTCTCTCTCCCTCCCAGCAGCAGCTGTCAATTATGAGTCTGAAACTTTCTTTGTTCCCATAGGGTGCCAGACACACACACACACATATCCATGTCCCCCATGGACTTGTGAGTGGATGTCAGTCTCCCCTGTGACATGTGGAAAATAAAACTCCACTCTTATTAGACTGGCATCCACCCAAAGAGCAGAGCAGAGTAGTGGGGACCAGAAGAGAGAGTAGAGAACTCTAGAAAACAGAGCAGGGTGTGACACAAGAGCAGTTTAGAGAAGACCTGTGATTCAGGGTTTAGTACCCAAAATGTACTTAACCACGTCATTATTCCTGGAGGTTGTTCTGTATCAGCTGCACCATGTTGAGGATCAGTTGATTTTGATTTGATTAGATTTTTGACTGACCATAGCTGTCTACAAAATCACTGCCTCCCCCAGATTCTGTAATATATGCACTATTTGGTGCCCAAAAAAGTTGCATCCATGTCATGATATTTGAATGAACTGCACATAGTGTTTTTGAACCTTAACAGACAGCTTACCTTCTCGACCTCCTGAGCCATAGCCGCTCATATTCACCACTTTTTGCTAAGAGTCACATAATGCAACTGTGCAACCAATTTACAGATGCAAAACCTGTCAAGGATGTCACAAAATAATAATGATTAGTGAGTGCTCAAAACCCTACTTTACTGCTCACTTCAAAGTAAACTGTTGAGTATCTATTAAATAGCAAGTAGTGAATGACTCAGTGATTTCAGACACATCTAATTTTATGTAAGTTCCTATGGTCATCCAAATTACTGCTATATAATAGATTCCATTTATATTCATTTGGACTTAAAGAAAGTGAAGAAAGATTCCTGTCTTTAAAAACTATTTAAATAGGTCCTAACAGCATCTTGTGCTCTGTTCTGTAGTGGTGAACTGTTCAGACCCGGGCCTCGTGGAGAATGGTGTACGGCAGTCCGGCCTGCGTTACCCAGAAGTCTTCAGCTATGGTGTAACTGTGGCAATCCACTGCAAACGAGGCTTCTACCTCCTGGGCTCTGCACTCCTAACATGCCAGCCTGATGGACGATGGGACCGACCAATTCCTCACTGCCTAGGTACGGATGGACAAATACAGAGTGTTAGAGAATTATTTGAATTGAGTGAAACAATGTCAATACAAGTTTAGGAGACAAATGAATCAGAAGCATAGACAGAACAAGCAATAGATTACCATTCATAGTGAAAATGGTTGTCCTATTGTGAACCGGTTACATTTTGGAATTCTTAAAAAAAAAAAAATGTACAAAAGTTTGTCATGCTGAACACAAGTTCTAATAGTCATGTGGGTTGCTATTTATTTTCTTTTGTATTTGTCAGAAAAAGCCATTTTAGGAGTGAAATGGCTTGAAGTGCCAGTGGGAGAAAGATGAGTAGCGAATGAGAAAGTGAGAGAATAAGAGAGGGTTCAAGGTAGAAAATGGGAGGGAAGTAATCATAAAAGCAGGGCGAGAGTATGAAAGAAAGAGGCTTAAAGGTTTGAGCATGTTTGTGTGTGTGTGTATTTGAGTGTACAGAAAGAAAAAGGTGAGCATGTGTCTCTTAGGGCAATAGGTGTTCTTGTCAGAGAGCTACCATGGCTGATAGAAACACAGAGATTAAACTAGAGAGCGATAGAGAGAAGGAGGCTGATTCAGAGATAGTGAGAGAAACACAGAGAGGCAAACAGGACGAGGACACAGTAACAGAGAAGTAGAGATGAGGAATCAGACAGAGAAGGATAGAGGGGCAGACACTGGTGAGAGTCTGGTGTCTGTGCATCGAGCATTACATTCGAGAAACAAGGTCTTATCGGAAAATTGGGGGGAGAGGGTGATGACTGAGGGGCAAGGAGAGGATGGAGTAATATAATTTGGGGGTAAGGGGAGATATCGGAGGACCAGTCATTTGGCAGAAATAGAAAATCGAGAGCAGTTTCATATCTCTGTCCTCCAGAAACCTGTGCTCTGTAAGACGTCGATTTTTCCGAAATTGAAGAAAAAACTAGAAGATTTTTTCACTGATGTCCGTTGCTTTGAGACTGTGGAACGATTTCTACTGGTTTTCTACGCAGAGGAGAGGGAGAGAGACTCTTTCAATGTTTTCTAGCTAAAGGGCATTTAATTTGAGATGAGTTATTGGTTCTCTCTCTCTTAGGCAATTCAATTAAACTCAATAAAAATACGCTTTACTGGCATGACTGTATACTGCCATACAGTGTAAGTAAAGAAGTACAAGTTATATTGTAAGATTGGAAAAAAAAAATCTCTCTCTCCCTACAAAAGCCCTCTCTCCCTACATTTACTGTGTCTCTTTACATCCAATAAAGGCAAAAATGCCCCCAAACAAGCATTGAAATGGGGTAAGCAAAGGAAACCTACTGTGTTATATTCAAGTTTAACATTTAATAGATTAAAATAAGAGTCTGATAATTTATTATTTAAAAGACAACTTTTTCAAACACAGATAAAAAAAGATATAAAATAGAACTTTTTGTTTTGTTTTTTCCACTACACCTAATTAATATGTATCTACTGTCAGTGTACTTTGGACAGTTAAAGTAAAAAAAATTATTTCATCTTTGATGAAGTACACATATCCTTATTTTGTTCTCTATTTCCTGTGTGTGTACTTTACACACAAACAAAAACAACAGTTACTTAATAACTGTGATCACCCCCCCCCTCGCTGTCACCCTTTCCCTCTAGCTGTCCATCTCAATGACCCAGCTTCACCATCTAATGCAGAAGTATCTGGAATCTAGTTGGACACAATCATGCACTAACATCCTTTCTCTTTCAATCTGTCACTGTCTCTATAGCTATTTCCTGTGGTGACCCTGGTGTACCCCCTAATGCAGTAGTATCTGGAACTCACAGTTGGACGTACGGCTCAGTGCTGCAGTATTCCTGTCTGCCTGGAGGGGTGCTGGTGGGCAATGCTACTCGACACTGTCAGGAGGATGGCACGTGGAGTGGAGCACCACCATACTGCACTGGTAAAAGCACACTGGTCAATAGAGCAGTGGTTTCCAGCTGGTAGAATTGCCGAGTGTAGATATTTAGCCAGTTACACTGTCATGCTTTTTCACACAGGCAGTTAAAAATGGAAGGCATGTTGGCAGTCTCTAAATCTAGAACAATAATCCAGCAAACACACCCACTGAAATCAACAATCTCTATACCTGCCAAGAGCAAAAATGTGTATCATGAAATTAAAATAAAATGCTTATTTGATTAAAGGTCCAGTGGAATATAATATGCAACGAAACACTGGCTGTAGATATTGTCCCCTACACACTTCACAGCCCGTTCTCATTCCCAGCTTGTCAAATACAGATCATTGGTGTTCAGTTAGTTGCAATCTGCAACTTCACCACTAGATGTCACTAAATCATACACAGTGGTCCTTTAAAGTGTTTGCAAAGGAGCTACTGTATGTATATCTCAAGCCATAAAAACAATTGCCAAAGAGTGAGCGTACCAGTAGATGATGCCATACATAGATACTATACATAGATCAAAGCACATAAGTTCAAAAACTACAAAAAACAACAACAAACGCTGCTCACTCCTAAAAATAAAATCTCTGTGACTTCAGTGAATGAAACCTGTTTAGGTAGTGAGCAAGAGTTAAACTGGTTCAAGCTGTCAAAAAATAGTATCATCCCATCTGGTGTAAAAAGAGTGAACCATATCACACAGGCAAGTCAGTATGAAGATGTGTTGTTGCTGCAGCATAACATACTGCATAACGTCACCTGAAGCCTATATGACAATAACAGGTACTAACTAGAACTGACAGGTAAAAATGATTGACAGTCAGGGTCCCTGTCCCTGTTTCACAGTCCCATATAGATTTCAGCACTCTTCTTTAGCTGGATTTCCTTTTAATTTTACATCAGTGGATGTGATGTAGTGTATTGAGATAATGACAGTGGTAGATCAGGCCACTACATAGTACAGTTGAAGGATATTCTTCTTTTTGTTATGTTATGCTATTAATTCAACTGACAACCGTCATGCCGCACTTCCCTGCACATGTCATCCTCTTTGCGCCACAAAAAAGTATAATAGGACATAGAGAGAGAAAGCATTTTAACATTTTTCAACATTGTTTTGAATTTATGTATTTATTAATAATTTTAAAGTCCAGTAATTTGATTGCTGCTAGCTGGTGCAGTGTATGAAATAGGTCACCATTTGACAATAGTGTGTGAAAGTGATCTTGAGAAATTAGTAAGTGTCATTATTATTATCAGAGCAAATACAGGAAAATGTACATTATGTGTTAATGGTATAGACTGAGCATCATCTGAACTGTATGTAACCTGGCTTGTCTAAGAAACAGGCAGGAGAAAGGAGGTGGAGGAGTCTTAGTTACTACTCAGGTTCTAAGTGCTGCTCTACAGTGGGCTTACGCAGATCCCACAAAACTACAACTGATCATTTCCAAACTCAGCATCAACTGTCTCAACAGCTGAAATGCAGTAAGCTTACTCTGCTGGCCTCAGAACAAAACGCTCAGCAGGGCAGAATCCATCCTGCATCCAAAGACCTCATTGAGATGCAAGACGCGGCATTTGGAGCTGTACCCTGTTAAACTCACAAATCCCTACCAATGGAATTTAAGCTCCTAAAATTGTGACACGCTCAGTGCTTTTAATGCTAGAACAATTTGGTATAGCCGAAATGCAAAGGACAGTTCTGCAAAGTTTGCGTGTCTGGATATGTGTGTGCACTGTATGTGTGTACCACTGTATATGAAAGACTGAGCAGTAAAATATTTGTGCAGTTTCTGCAACAGAGGTTATGAGATGACTAACATCACAAATGCTTTTTAGTTGATGTTGTTGGCTTGTGAATGCACGCATATATTTTTAGCATGTTGCTCCCAGTGAGAGACAACCTCCTAACCCTGAGTTACATAAAATCACTAAAACCTATTAGGAGACTAATGGACATCAGTTGAATGCAGCTGTTGTTTCACATTAACTGTATCAAATGTATTTGGATTTTCTGTGCATTTTTTTCTATGTTTACTGTCTGTCTCAGCAGGGCTGGGGGGGGTCCTTGGTTGCTTCAGTGGTGTGAACGTGTCTGGCTGTTGGCAAGTGTTTGGTACATTAACTTTATGTCTCTTTTCTCGTTATAGGTGTAAGTCCAGGAATCTGTGGAGACCCAGGGATGCCTCCCCACGGTGCCCGTCTGGGAGGGGAAGAATTTAAAACCAAGAGCCTGCTGCGTTTCAGCTGCGAAGCGGGATATAGCCTGATTGGCTCAGCCGAGAGGACCTGCCTTCACAATGGCACCTGGAGCGGCACGCAGCCTGTGTGTCAAGGTGGGGCGATGCAATGACTTTACGTGACTTATGTCGATAAGTGAAAGTGACTCTATTGAAAGATGGAACAAAAGTCATTAGACACCTATATTCACACTTCAAATAGCAAACACATCACCTTTATTTTTTAAAACAGATATTATAGCATCATCATAGCACTTGGTTCTGTAGTATTATATATCAAAGTAGTGAATTTCTTTTACAGTAAAAATAGATTTTTATGGAAGTTTTTTGCACAGTATTCTATTTATATGCACCATTTACTAACCCTGTGTTATAGTAAAAGACTGCTGCTTGCTTTATGCAAGGGGCTTAGATTTGACAACGCAGCATATGCTGAACTGTCTGTTTAGAAAACATCAACATTTTGATACCAAGTTATTCTTGTCTCATTTGAGGTTACCTTTGGGTCCCAACCCAGATTCTATAAAACATTACTGTAAAAATAAACATTGCTTTAAAACCTAGCCGTGCAGATTTTGTATCAACCCACATTTGTGGCATATGGACTTAATTATTCAGCATTTTACGGGAAAATAAATCGGCTCAGCCTCCAAAGTTGAACAGCTTAATCTTTTCTTTGGAAAATACAGTAGCATTAGGCTACTGGGCATGCTAGCGACAGTAAGCAACTAAGCCATTACCAAATATAGTTAAAAGCACATTACATACATTGTACACAGTATATTGTACATTATATATTGTGTAAGTGAAGTTTACACATTGCTTCAAAATGCATGCATTGATATAAACGTAATTTAAAAAATTAAGTTGTATGTACAGCTAAAAGTATTATATATATAAATTTAACTTAAGCTATAGTGTGAATTGTCATGCTTCAGCTGATTTTTCACTTAACCACTGCAGCCTATAATTCACACAACTGCCATACAACACAAAAAACATTTATAGTACCTAAAATAGTACATGTAAGAGGTGATCTAATATGTTGACAGATGTCACAGTTAGAGTTTATGGAAGAAGCAGTTTGTATGAAAAATATGAAGATTCACGTTTATGTGTGCATGTTTATATGTGTGGCCCAGATAAAAAGAGTTTAAGAGTGTCACTCCTAACTGACTGAGCTGGATCTTCCATAACGCTGTGGTAATAAAGTGTGTCCTATACAACAGCAGTTTTCAAAGACACTCTTTAAACCCATGGGGGTCTAGGGGAAATTAAAGTTGGTCCCCATAGTGCTGTAGAGACACTGGAAGCTGCTGCCTGTGTTACCCTCCCAATTCTAAACTATGTTAGGTTGGATGAATAAAACACTGCTGACATTCACTCCATTGTACTCTGACGCAGATTTTAGATTCAGTTGGGATAGATGGGCTGCTCTAGCAGTAATTTGAGTGGATAGGAGGAGGAAGGGTTAGTCATACAGTTTCAGTGTACTCTTCTATGTACTACCACCAGTATGCTAAATATAGAATACTGGAAAACTGATGTCACACTGACTTAAATGAGTAGATCTGTACACACAGATACATATATTTGGCTGCTAAATGACAGCTTTTTATTGAAGCAATACAATATTTTGTTGAATAATTGAATCTGCTGATTTACATTATAAAGTAATGCCAATCTTAAAATTGTTTGTTAAAATCACTCAGAATGTTAATAGAAACCCATAATGTGAATTTCCTTCATGCCAGCAATCAAATTTACTTGGAAAACATTTTGGAAAAAAAACTCTTTAACTGAAGCAACTCTTTCCCAAAACTAGAACTGCAAGGCACGGGACTCGAAACTGTAAAGATATTACACAGTTGTACTATACTGAACTTGTATTTCACCTTAGATTTGTGTGTGCGCCAGTGTCCGGGTTTGTGTAACACTAATTATTTATGTTTGTCTACAGTTGTTTTTCATTAAGCTAATAGTGGTTCAAAGCTGATTCAGAACGGATGAGGCATCTATCACTGAGAAACAAACACAAAGAAATCCATACACACGTCCATACAGAAACACACACATACACAGACTGTTGCTCACAGCAGGTATACTGATAACACTCACAGGCACAAACAGTAAGCTGCCGTAGACACACACAGTTTTGCATGATGTGCTCCACCTACACCCTGTCACACAAACACACACACACACACACACACACACACACACACACACACACACACACACACACACACACACACACACTTGGACAGAGCTTTTAAGAGCTCTAACTAATGAATCCCATCAATAGGTGTTTGATTGTTAAAGGCTGTCAACTGTCATGGTCTTATTAGTGAAATGTCCTGTGGCTGGTTGCTAATTCCTGTCTGTTCTGTTAATGTGCTGTGCCAGCAAACCTAAAGATCGATGAATCACTGGTTTAGACCAGAGACGTAGTCCTTCCCCATCTGCATTTTTGTGTCCTCCCAAACAGTTTTGTCTTACAATCTACCAGACCAGCAATGGTTCGAAAAGCAAAGTTAGCCAAGGATGGATAAAGATCCTAGCCTTTGGCTTTACGAAAAAAACCTTGTTGCTTGTTCTTGTCCCCTGAGAACAAAGGAGAAACCCAAAGATTCAGTGTGAGAAAAACGCATTGTATTGGCTTTAGTGTTGAGCCTGTTAAAGCAGCTGTGAAGATGAACACCAGTGTGTCTTAATGGATGCTGCAATGTCAAGCATATAGCCAGTCTCAAATTATAAATATGTATTCTCTGCGCTCTCATCGCTGAGACTTTGTTCTCCCCAAGATAACTCGGGAAGGACATTGTCCACAAGTACTGACTGATAATTAGATTGGCAACACTGCTGCATGACCAATGCTTCTTCTTACTGTTATTTGTCTTCTCCACAACTGTTGGATGTCTTACCATGATGATCTTATTCAAATCACTCTGGCATACATATTTGCAGACAGCACGTCTTGGTTTTTAACAAGAGGCAGAACCAGACATTCATGAGCCTGTCCTCGGAGCATTTTAAGGCTCACAGTTTTGCTCACTGGCACTTTGGCAGTCATTGTGTGCACTGTAGGTGTATTATCATCCTCCTTCCAGCCTTTAGCACACAACTGGAATACAGTACATCTGCTATTCAGTGCTGGGAATCAGTCCAACAACCTTTAGTTATTAATCAGCCTCACTACCTCAAGGACATATTTATAGTTATTTCCAGCTGACTCCGGTGATAATCTCATTATTGCAGCTTACAGCCTTGAGTGACAGAAAGACAGTATTGCTCACACTGATATTATCACTATGATTAATCACCTCTGTTTAATATTTCCTCACTTCTCAGCTGTATCCTGTGGTAACCCTGGCACCCCAGCACATGGCAGAATTGTCTTCAGTGATGGCATCACCTTCGGCAGCTCCGTGGCTTACGCATGCTGGGAAGGCTTCAAAACATCTGGCCTGACCACCCGACACTGCACAACTAATGGAACATGGACAGGACAACCTCCAGACTGCACTGGTAGGATATGTTTGATGTTATTCATTTTACTGTTATTCTTACTGTTGCTATTATTAGTGGTAATAACAGCAGGAGGTGTAGTCATTATTATAAAAAAATTAGCAAACGTTGAACTAGCATAATTAGCTATAGGAGTACTACTGCAAATAGAATCAGTGCTGGTGCCTGCGTAGTGGTGTTTCTTTATTGAAAGATCCAAGAGGAGTATAAATTGTGCATGGACTGAGCAACCTGCTGCTGTGCAGGTACAGGACTGTACAAGGGTAAGTTTGTTGTGTGTGAGATTTCAACTTGTACAGTTTAACAGAGCCAGTGAGAGGTTTGGGGAAAAGGAGAAAAAGAAAGTGGGAGGTAGATGAAATGAAGCGGGGGTATGCTTTAGGGAAGTTAAGAAAGGCAGTCTGTGAGAAAGTTGAGTAGGAGGGTAAGGTTAAAAGGGCAAGCATGGAGAAGGAAAAACATCAGTTTTTTCAGACTATGTTAGAAATAAACAATAAGTTATAGTAAAAAGACTGATATGTATAAAAATGTAAGTGCCCTGGTGTATAACTACAGCACTGCAGGACTGCTTGAACAACAGAGAGACACTCTACTGTATTCATGACAACATTTTATTTCACCTCCTTCAGTGATCAGTTGCGGAGACCCCGGCCCGGTAGCCAACGGGATCTATATAGGAAGTGAATTTACCTACAACCACACAGTGACCTACCGCTGTAACCCTGGTCACCTGATGGAACCACCTGGACCTGGACGCAGCGTCCTGCACTGCACTAAAGATGGAACATGGAACCAAACCAAACCTAGCTGTAAAGGTAAGAGGAACTAACGCCTAAATATCTGACTCCAAAGTAATGATGGACAAGAACAGCAACTTTTGATGAATCCACAGGTTCTGTACAGTATCAGGAAACACTGCATCTGGCAAATGGATTTAATTGTTTGCAGTCCAACTTATACTTGTTTTGTTTGTTCTGTTTAGACTGAAAACCGTATTGATATTAAATATTATTCAAAAATCTGATAAATATGAAATGATATATATCTTATTGTTTAGAAAAAATGAAAAAATAATTATAACAATGGTTGTGAATGTAATCAAAATAAACAATCAAAAATGAAAATAATTGTTATGCTTGGACATTTATTAGAAAAATTACGCTATTAATTTGTAATTAAATGAAATAAATCTCTCCGGATCAGGGTGTTCCTATAGCTTGTGAATATGTTGACAAAATAGTTCATTTGATTTTGTAGAAGAACAAGAGGGAAAAAAACATTATAGATTTCAAGAGACTGAAACCCAAATAGCAAGTATAAACACTGATTAGCCATAACATTATGACCACCTGGGCACCCTGGTGGTCATAATGTTCTGTAGCCCCATACCCAACAAACTGCAATGCACTGTGTGTTCTGACAGCTTTCTATCAGAACCAGCATTCACTTTTTCAGCAGTTTGAGCTACAGTAGCTCGTCTGTTGGATCAGACCACACGGGCCAGCCTTTGTTCCCCATGTTCACCACTTTTTCTTCCTTGAACCACTTGATAGGCACTGACCTCTGCAGACCGGGAACACCCCACAAGAGCTGCAGTTTTGGAGATGTTCTGACCCAGTCGTCTAGCCATCATAAATTTGTCCCTTGCCAAAGTCGCTCAAATCCTCACGCTGACCATTTTTCCTGCTTCTAACCCATCAACTTGAGGATAAAATGTTCATTTGCCACATAATATATCCCATCCACTGACAGCTGGCATGATAACCAGATAATCAGTGTTATTCAACTCACATGTCAGTGGTCATAATGTTATGGCTGATCGGTGTATACCAACACTGCAATTGAGCACCATATTGAACATGGACCGGAGGTGGAAGATGTGTCCAGTCTCAATAGATATCTTCAACTAACATGGCACGCAACAATGAATCAGAAGGGTAGTTATTGTCATAGCTCTGTGCAACTGTGAATAAAAGAGCCTAACCAAAACAAGTGACAATGTAAATAAGAAAAATAGTATTTCAGTGTGAGCTGCCATACTAAAATAACAGATTGAGAAGATCAACATTGGTCCTTATAATGACAGGGTGTTAAATTAGGGTTTATTTCCTGAAACCGGTATTTTTTTCACAAACACAAAGGGGAAAATAAAAGAGAATGCATTAAAATAAAATGAGTCACAGTTTTACAACAGCCCATATTTAGAGTTGTGATACTCAACAACAGTAAAAGGGAATGTTTCCTGAGATCCTCCCTGCCGCTTCTTCCCACAAACACAAAATCTCCTGCTGGCTCCTGCAGTTGCAGAGGCTTTGAACTGAGATGAAAAAACTTAGAAAGCCGGCAGAGAGGCTACTGAGAAGGAACCAGAGAGAGATGCAGAGAGAGGAAAAACGGAGAAGTAAAAGATACTGTAGGTGATTGAGAATGAGACTGAGGCAAGAAATTGAAAAGAGAAAATTAGAAGGAAAGAGAAATAATGGGATTGAGAGAGAGAGAGAGAGAGAGAGAGAGAGAGAGAGACAGGTAGCAAAATGCTGCAAGTCTTCTATCACTTTCTGTTTCTCTTCCTTTTGTTCCTCCTCTATCTTTTCTTCTTTGCCCTTCTTTGCTCCTCACATTTCTCTACACTTTCCTCCTCCTGTTTAGGTTCTACTTCTACTGTTCTCATGTTTTGGTTCAGCTCCCCTGTTTTCATCCCCTCTGTTTTCTCCCACTTCAAACAATCCACAAGTCTTCATTTGATCCTGTTTTGGAACAACAGCTTCTTCACACAGGGGTACACATGCACACACAGAAACATTTCGAATGAAGGAGTTGTAAGCCATAAAAGTGCAGCTTGACGAGCAAAATGAATCAAGTGAGCAAAGCAATGAGGAGGAGGCATGGCGGAAGGAGGGAAAGAAATAGAGAAAGAAAGAAGGGGTAAAGAAAGGGGAGAGGGAGAGGGAGAATCGAAGGGGATGAAGAGGCGTAGTCGAACAAAACACTTGATAAAAGACAGAGGAGACACAAAAAAGACACAAAGACAGACTAATGTAGAGATTAAGCGACAAAGAAAATGGGAGGTGGAAAAATGGAGAGTCAAGTGGGTGAATGAAGAGGGAAAAAGAGAGAATGTGATGAGCCATCAGTGGGGCTACAATGAGTTAGCGACGAGGAAGCGAGTGATGGGAGAAACAAAGAGAGGCAAATCAATACCTGCCCCCAAACCTGTAAACACACAGTGAGAAAAGGGATTAAACCCATAAAATGTGTTGGCTGGGTGAATTGCGCCAAGAGAGATATGCCTAAAAGACAAAGGGAAGGGAGGGAAGGGAGGGAGAAGCAGTACTGATATGAGAAGGAGACCAGGAGAGCAATGGAAGAAGATAAAAGAGGACTGGAGCTGGGACAGAAGGACAAGGAAGAAAGGTACAGGGAGAAAGAGAAGAAGAAGGGCTGGAGGGAGAGATTCAAAAAAGTACGAAGACAGAAAGGAGGCAGGGGGACCAAAGTGTAAGAAAGAGCAGAGTGTGGAGACGTGAGGAGAAAGAAGAAAAGGATGGGGGAAAGGGAAGGGAGTCAATGATCGCAGTGACGGAGGGAAGAGCAGAGGTGCGTAAGCAAGCAGGGATGAGAGTTACTCCTCCAGCCAACCCAGTTTATTCACAACAAAGGACAGACACAAAGAGAAAAGAGTTCAAAAACCTTCAATTACAGATACAAGTGTGCTTTGGGCATCACAGACCGTCAGAAATATTGCTCTGGAATATTAACTGCTAAAGTCAATTAGAGTGTTTTATTCTATTTTTGAGTTTGATCCCTAATAACAAAGTTGTTAGTTGTTTATTAGAAAACACTCTCATTGGCTGTTGGCTAGCCACCAGATATTGTTCCTAGAGTCACACAACAGACATTTAGAATGGCATGCTTTAAGAAAACTGGATTTGGAAAAGTGTGGTGTGCAGGTGTGTAGATTATTTTTAATGGGACTAACAACAAGCAGAACACGTTGTAGAATGGAGAAAAATAACATGGGAAAATTAAGCTTTTTTTTTTTGTCTGGAGGATGACTTCAGGGAGATGCAAGGCTTCTTCAGGACACTGGTGACATACAAAGACAGAATTAGTAAACTGATTAGTTTGATGCGAGCACTCGCGGTTGCCTAGGAACCGCAGTGTTACAAACAATAGATATTTTTTAGTAGTTCAAAGCAATTTTTTGTTAATGGCACTTTGATTCTGCCTCCGAAAGACTGGTGGTTATAATGCAATAGAGAAACCAAAAAGAGAGTGAAAAAAACAATAAGAAAATAGGAAAAAAAGATTGACAGAGAAAAAACTAAATCAAGGGTTGGAGGGCAGGAACAAAACAAATTATAAAGAGGAATAATCAAACGTGGAAAGAAGGAGGATGTCTATTTGGTGTAGGTTTCGTATCATTCTTGAAGCAGTATTTGATACGTTATTACATTCTATCCATAAATTGATCCGTATTTTTTTTTTTTCCTGTTCATTTCAGTATGTGCTTATTGCCGCATCTACTGTTTATATAGCATGTATGTGTTGCTTGTGCATGCATGTCTGTTTCTGCATCTGTGTGTGTGTCTCTCTCTCTCTCTCTCTCTCTCTCTCTCTCTCTCTCTGTATGTTTGTGTGCACTGTATATCATCATAGCAGAGTGAATGGAGCATGAAACCATCTGTCTCCTGGTTAGATGAGAATTACACTGACTTTATTAGATGTTTGAAACCATGCAGATGGTTATCATTATCTTAGGGAGTTAGGCACACTCATGCACGCACGCACACTCACAGATGTTGATCAGCGTGTTAAGAAGTGACACGCACAGACATACAACACGCTTGCATGTGTGAACACACACTCAGATGCGTGTAATCGTACATGCACACAGTGGGTCTCCTAAAATCTTTTGAAGCTGGTGGAACATCATCAGGCATAAACAATATGTTGTCATGTTATCAAGGCCTCCATTCTCTGTAAATAACAGATGCTTTTTTAATGGAAAATAATCGATTTGATCTGCTGGACCATTTGATATCAGCATTGGTCATGTATACTAGCAGTTATGAAATCAGTTTCAAAGTAGCTGTAGGTTTGTGTGAATCATTAGCATTACATAAACAGCAATCCCACATAGTGAGTCTCAAGCATAAATATGTATTTCTTCCTAAAATCCCCAATGTAGGACAGCCTTTCAAAAGAAGGAGGTTGATGGAAAAGTTGTCTTGTGGATAATATTGTCATTATGTAATTTAGCAGACTTGTTAACTCCAGAGTGGAAACACAAATCATCACAGGCAATGCCAAACTGAACATGTCCTTTCAGAAACTCTCCGTCCATATGGTGGCCATGGTTTGTCTTTTGGTTAAGCAACTTAAATGAGGTGGCCTAGGTCACCTGCTGCTTTACGGCAGTAAATACTCATATGGGGATCACGGCTGACTGCTGCTTTTGCTGTTCTTTATTTTCACTTGATGTCTCACCTCCCATGTGCAGCCATCTTGTCATATGCCATTGTGAATCTCTCATAGTAAGCACTTTTTTTTAACTATACATCAGAGATTAAAGATGGGGACCACAGGGTGTGGCTCATTGATCAGCCGGGGTAGACACCAGCCCCAACATTACAGAATACAAAACTACCTGGCTCTGGTGAATGGCTATTTTTCATTTTGTTAAAGGTTTGTATAATCAACTTTTGGTTCAGATGGGCATTGTCTCCATTGTTGTTTCATATCTTCCACATCTACAGTGCTACACATACACCAGGGACAAGTGTTGACTGCTGTTTTGTCTTGACTTTGACAGTCTGAGAGTTCATTGTGTTATTTGGTGCTGATTTATTTAGCTCTACTGAAGATAAAATTGCAGATGTTAGCAAAAGATCATATGATGTATAAATATCCCATTAAACAGCATTAGCTATTACTGACATACTGTCTGTTTTGCACTGCTAAGAAATAGTAGAAGTGTACTTGAAGTACAAAAGTATTATCAAGTATCAAAGTTAAACTCATATACTCATTGTGATCTTTTCAGAATACTGTGTAACATTTAGGGGAATCTATTGGTGGAAATGAGAAAAAAATAATCTTTTTGTATAAACACCAAAAAATAAGAATCGTTTTCATTACTTTAGAATGAGCCATTTAGGTTACCAAGCACTTGCTCTAGATAGAGCCTTTCATGTTTTTCCCAAGTTTTGCGGCCTCTATAGTTTTTCATACACACTTGGAAGACTGAGCTGTATTCAATTGGTTGCTATCTACAACTTCACCACTAGATGCCACTGAATCCTACACATTGGTTGTGTGAATGTGTGAAAATGGTAATAGTCAAGTAAAGTACAAGCACCTAAAAATTGTACTGTTATTATTATTATGATATCATCAGTACAGTACTGTAGGTCATCTTTTACATCTGTGTGTTTTAGTGATCCAGTGTGGACCTCCTGCTCAAGTACATCATGGGAAAGTGGAAGGAAGTGACCATTCATGGGGCTCGAGTGTTAGCTACAGTTGTTTCCATGGTTATCAGTTATCCACTCCCGCTGTGTTAACCTGTGAGGGGAATGGGACGTGGACAGGAGAGATACCACAGTGTCTGCGTGAGTAATCTGGCCTGACCTTTAGTAACTGTAATTGATCACTGTTTCCCCTTCAGTAATGTCAGCAGTTCACAGAAAGCAGATGTCCTAATTGTACCTTTTGTCTCATTGAAGCTGTCCTTTGTGGAGATCCTGGCTCTCCTGGAGGAGGATTCAGAGAGGGGAACATCTTTTCCTACCGGTCAGTGGTTATATATAGCTGTTAGCTATCAAGCTTTTTTGAAATACCTGTGCTTCATTAAAATTACTAGTAAAATGTTTGTAGCAGCCTACTGTGACTGATATTGTTTGTTATATGCCTACAGACATATTATCACTCAAACAGGATTGTCACATTTGCTGCGGTGAACTAAAATTAATGCATTAAGACACTGTTGATAATTAATCAAGATTTGCTGCACGTGCTTCACAATACATGTGATTTAATTTAAAGGATATAGTCTGTCTTTACTGCAAAACCACCTTGGGAAGTGTTGTTTGTTCCATCAGGGTTACCAAATGTTGACTCAACAAGGTATATCTAAAAATAGATTAGACATTTTGTCTGGATGTCAGTTTGAAACATTGCAAGGACAAAATAGATTTTGTTTTTTGAGCAAAAACAAGAAAACAATGTCAGCTAAAGGTGAAGTGGTTAGACTGCAGAAACATCTTACATATCATACCCTAACCTGTCCTATGGGCATCAAACCACACCTCAAATGATCAAGTAGAAACACTGAAGCCATATTTTATTATTTTGCGTGACTTATTTTTGTTATTTTTTGTGTGAGTAATTCAATTTTTGTTTCCCTATGCAGGTCAGAGGTCAGGTTCTACTGCCAAGCCCCCTACTTGCTTGTAGGCTCTGTTTCCAGAGTCTGTCAAGCTGATGGAATTTGGAGTGGCCAACAACCAGCCTGTATAGGTAATTAATAGACTACCACCACAACAACACTAAATAACGTTTGCCCTCAAATACACTGCAAGCATATGTGTCAGTTTTAAAAATGTAATCAATATAGTGCTGTAATGATTATTAGCTTTAGACTAGCTGTATATCATACCACTTTATAACACATTAAGTTTTTATAATATAGTGATCACAGCAAAGTTATTATTACAGTTTGTCTCAGTTGCCATCATTACAGCAGACTCAATTTCAATAGTGTATGGACTGTATGTCTAAAGAACAGGAGGTTACTATAAATCCATATAATACCTTCAAATTAGACAACTCAATGCTGCACGTCAAAAAGGTGGGTTAATTATGGTCATTATCTCTGAAGCTGTGTGAGAAAATGATTGAACACCTGTTTTTGTGTTTGTTCATTTTTTTAGTCTACCCATCTCATCAGTGTTATTCACTACAGGGTAAAGATACAGTCTAGGAAAATCTTACAAATATCATTCTACCAAGATGTGTGCATCACTGTGGTGTGATGCTATATCACAATTATTAAGCTTTAAAAATACTCTGTCTTGACTGACATGACAAAACTGGCGGGGAATTTAGTTATTGTTTCTACTGCATAAAGCTTGTTTGTGCTTACTTTCGATGGGAAAGGTGAATAACATAGTCACCAACACTCCTAACACCCTTCTGCATCACACACAGAAAAGCCTGCATAAATCTGAGAAACATTACCAGAATAGAGTGTTTATGTAAATTTGAAATATTACATATTGCAATCTTTCCATAATTGTGAGGAACAGACATTTTGTTTACTGCAAAGAAAAACATTTAATCAACAAGTTATGAATAAAATTGTGTGAAATCAGATTATTGGTAAACAAGATTGTGGAGCATACTCTTGTACACATTTTAGCATTAGTATTCCTGTGCAGATAGAGCTGAAGATATTATCTAATCAATGGATAAAGTGTGTAGTTTTGATGTCAACATTTGGTTTCTATAACGATTTTATCTTGGAAAGCATTCATTTCTTGAGTGAAATGTAGGTTGTTGTGGTGAAAGCATGGAGCTTATTTTGGAACAAGTTGTGAAATCACAAGGAAAAAAGCTGAATTATTGTGTAAGAGCTGAAGTGGAAAGCAGCCTTGTACCAACACCACAGCCATCACAGAAATTCTGTCATGTTCCACTTCTATAAATAGCTGTTGTATCTGTCATACATAACTGTAAAATCTATCCATGGCGGCACCCAAATGCCCTGACTAGTATTGAATTACTCCTTATTTCAATACTAATACTTATATTTTCCATTTTATGCCACTTTATTCCTTTGCTCAACTACATTTCAGATGGAAATATTGTCCTTTCTACGTTACTAAACGTGTCTGACCTACAGGTTACTTTGCAGATGAAGGTTTTACTCACAAAACTGTGTGTTAAGAATATAATGTGTTGTGCTACTGCTGAGGCTCTGAATACCTTTGCCACGACATGTATATATAATATGAAGTATGTATAAGTAGTATGTATAAAAAAAATGTGAGCGCATACAATACTCAGTGTTTATGTGTATGTGTGTGTGTGTGTGTAGACCCAGCCTTCAACAGCTGTCGTGATCCAGGAACTCCAGCCTATGGTATCCCGGTCATGGCACAGGGCTTTCAGGTGAGAAATATATCAGTTGACTCTTAAAATTTCTAGAAATCCTCATATTTAGATATACTAACTATACAAATTGTAAACTGTATACAATGGTTTTGTTGGTATGTAGGTTAAGTGTCAATGCTTAACATCTGAACTTGTTGAGGAGCTGTTAAAAGGATGTAAAGATGTGAGGATGACACGTTTTTGTAGACCATGAAAAGAAAGCAGCAGCATTTTACTGCTTTTATGAGATCCAAGGATGCGACGAGGCAAGGTCAAAATGATTCGCAGTAATGCAAGCAGGATGACTAAATGCATGAATATTAAACTTCATCAGAGATACAATATTTTACAAAGTTTCTCTGTAGGAAAAACAAGAGCCAATCAAATACTTTACATGGAGGTCAAAAGTAAAGCCCTGGTCAAAAGTGGTTCCCAGATTTCTAAGATTAGTCCTTATAGATGACAAAGAGAGTCAATATTTTCTTTGATCTTAAGGACCAGGCTATTTAGAGCACAGATAAGTACCTGTTGATGGAATATATTGGCCATACAATCCTTAGTGGAATTCAAGCAAACATGCAAATCCTTCAATTTGTGGAGGTATAATTGGATATTATCCACCTATATTTCCCCTGACATTAAAAGAGAGGAAACACCGACATTATTCAGGACTAACATCCACTAAAAGAGAAAGAAGTACAAATAAAAGTAGATATTTGTTGTTGTTGTTGTTGTGTTTTATTAGATTTAAAGAGCAGTGAGTTTTTATTTTTATTTTCATTGTTAAGATTTTTTTTTTTTTTAAACTAAATGACAACTACCACTGATGACTGTGGCAGGTCTTCTGAAACTATAGGGTTATCAGTGAATAAAGAGGACTTTTGATTCTGCTTTTACATCATGTAGGTTGGAAGTAAGATTTCTTTTAAATGCCGCAAGAACTACCACATCCTTGGTTCCACCACAAGAACGTGCCTAGAAAACCTAACCTGGAGTGGAACTCAACCTGAGTGCATAGGTAAGAAAGTTGTTTTTGTTACTCTATGCCTTAATATTATTTGTCCTTATAATTGTGTGTGTTAATTCAGTTTGATTTTTTGTTGATGTTTATGTTACATTTTATTCAATACTTATTTTTATAGAGAGGAAAAACAATGTCTGTGTTTTATTTTTTCTCTTCCTCATCAATTAGCCCATTCATGCAGACAACCAGAGACGCCCAGTAATGTAGATGTTCGATCTATGGACCTTCCTACCTTGGGATATACGCTGATCTACACCTGTCAAGATGGTTTCTATCTGGCCGGGGGCTCAGAGCACAGAACCTGCAAAAGTGATGGGAGATGGTCGGGCAAACCCCCACTCTGTAAAGGTATTCAGATCCTATCTTGAAAATGCGCTGCATGTATAAACTAGGCGGACGTTGAGCCTAAAATCTAAACTGGATGTCATAATCCCATATGGTTTAAGATAAATACAGATTATCAGCCTGATATTATTGCTATGCTCTCGTAAATCTGCCTCAGGTGTACCATGAATGCTGGGATGTATTTTTTTCAACCACATACTCGTGGCTTTAAGATAAGAAGTGGATGGCTGTGAATACTGTGATTTATGACAACAAAACAATCAGGTTTACAACCAGACCGGAAATAGACTGCCACTTGTTTTCTGCTTCGTGTCTTGGTCCCCTTTTGTCTGTGGAACCCTAGAAATTGAGCATAGCGTTAGTTCAGGCAGGCCGAAGTCAGGCTCAGCTCTCAGTTACAGCTATATCATATGATCACAGCTAGTCATAAACATACATCCGCTGATGGATCAGCTGATTCCTCTAAGCTTCCTATTGGAAACCATACACAGTCAGCTGACAGCTCACCTGATTCCCTCAGGCATCCAATTGGCAAATATCATTTATGGCGCCTTATTTAAGCTGCTTTAGCCTGCCTATCTTTGCTGCTTCCTCTACAAGCCGTTTTTCAACCCACTTCCACCCCAGCTCCTCCTTTTTATGTTGTTTCTAATTAATCAATGTCATTTTCTGATTGCCATTGTTGCTTGCTCTGTTCTACCCTGGGGGGGTCTCTGCTGCCGCTCTCCTTGTCTTAAACTTTTCCATGTATGCACATGGAAGGACAAGGAGGTCCCAGAACAGAGCCATACTGCCAAATGTAATATTCTGCTTTGGGATAAAAGATATTTTGACCAAAGTGGTCCTGACTGAACTGACAAATATCAATGTTTAATGGTCAGTTAGATTATGATTAACACTTATCATACATTCTCAGTCCTGTCACACATTAAATATTTGTTCCCAACCGTATCTATACCAGATCTACTGTCAGTAAGCTTAATGAGCTAAACTAAAACTTATTGTTATTCTGTATTTCAGTTGGAGTGAAAGTCAATCCCAAAGGAAGAGGAGAGTCAGATGTCCAGAAGAACAAGATTCGAGGTATGCCGTATAAACTACAACACACATATACATTGTTGTACTTAAACCACAGATATATACTTATTGCACTTGCTTATTTTGTTGGCAGCTGGAATGCTGTTCATCATACTGTTTTTTAATAAACAGGATTTCCAAGGGACGAATGGCTATTGCGGTAGGAGGTTGTAGTGAGTTTTGACTATAAGGTTGTTCTCTCTGGACAAGCAGTCTTGTCTCAGATTTATAGGAAAAAGGCGCGGGCAGAGTAAATAAATCTGAAAAAAATAAAAAAAACACTCAGGTGCAATACCATGTAATAGTTTGTAAGTTTGAAGTAGGATTTTATAATCAATATATGCATTTAGAGGGAACAGTCAGGAGAGACTTACACCAGAGAAAAATAACACACAAAAAGTTGTGTGATCTTTGCAAGAATACTGAAGCTGCTGAGTTTTAAGTAAGTCATAATTGTCAGTGTGGATTCAGACAAGCAGAGACAAACCCACTGGAGCAGTCAATTTTGAAGGAACCAACCACAAAGGGTTAATCCTAATCCTGACCCTGACCCTTTTTTAGTCATTGGTTCAGTTCTTTTACTTGTGGCTGGTTGCAAAGGTTTGTGTGATAAGAGTGCTAAACTTGATCCTGTTAAACTAAGACAATCACACAGTGTTACTGCTGATGCTTTGAGGCAGTGGTGGTACTGTTAACAGCAGTTTTAAATCATGTCGAGCTGTAAATGGTTCTTCTTGTTTTTGTTTCTGTGTCTCCATTATAGTTCCAGTGGATGTGTTCTCTCCAAACTCTGAGTGGAGCGGGTTTTATGAATATCTAGGCAAGAGACAGGCCACCACATTTACAGTTGCTGGGTTCAATGCTACCAGCGGGAGAGTGAACGTCACATTACTGGAGACCAGCGGCGTGTCAATCAGACTGTCAGGTAAAAAGACAAAACAAATAAAACATTAATGTTACTAAGAGTTACATACTAATTACTCTGAGTAACTTCCCAAAAGAGCTATTATTATGTTATTTTAATGGTTTCAGATCTTCCAAAACCTGTTTAAAAAAAATCTCTGCACACCTAAATGTGTGACAAGAGCATCTCTGTCTCGCTTACTGCAGTTTTTTTTTTTTTACTGAGTACGTGATGAGGGTTGGACTTGCCGAAACACAATTTAATCAATAAAAAATGTAATCAGTAAAAACTAATTTCCAGCAAAAAGCGAGACAGTGTTCAGGAGTTCTTTTCAAAGCTTTCAAATCTTGAATACGAATACATAAAACTGATCCAATAAACTAATTTCTTCAGTTTTTATTTTCTGAGATTAAATTTGCATCAAAGCCTGTCATGTGTTAGAAGTCATAAAACCTACATGAAATAGAAAATACTTTCCCCAAATGATCCTGAACAAGATAAGCAGATATAGAGAATGGATGGGTAATACATTATTTCCTGTAGTCCTGAAATGATAGCTAAATGAAAATAAAATGTCTGACTGCAAAGGAGCACTGTAATATCACCTTTGTTTTCAGTGAGGTAAAAAGAGCAAATACATTCCAGAAGTGGAAGATTTGCAGACTTAAAATGCAGTGTAAATAACACAAGCGGAGTTACTACTGGAGGTGTAAATACACAGCAGGTTAATAAAGATCCAGCTTTCATTCACACTTATTAGAAAGGGATCACTGATATCTATGTAGAAATTGGCACAATATATTGCACCCAAGTACAAAAAATTTGTTTTTGTGCAAGAGCTGTGGAGCACACAGAGAAGATAAACAGGTTATTAATACATTAAATAATATAACATGCAGGGGCACTGATGGGAATTATGAACCACCTGGCAAGTTGTGTGCCTGGGCTTCTCTGCACCAATGCATCTGCAGAGTCCCCACACCAGTCTTAGGGCCAAACTATTACCTGAGCAACATAACGCCCACTGTAGGGCTCCACTGCACATGATGTATTTTTTATTCATATGTACTGTAGCCAAATTGATTGCATTACAGTAAAATGAATGACAGGTTGACGAAACAGGTAAAGCTGCACTCTTGAGTGAAAACCTCCAGAACAGTAGTGTTTAAGAAACTGAGAGAAACTGTCTCACTCCCCCACTGACACTCATGTATGTTTTGACATTTCACAATGACGCTTCACAATCAATAGTTCAGCTTGATCTTAGGGTCATGAACGATTTTCTGCAGGTGAGAGACAAGGGCTCTCAATGTATAAAATGATTTCATTTTGAATCTGTGATGTTTCTTTTACATGGACTTGTCACATTGGATAGAAACAGTCTCTGCGTTGGTACTATAGTTAACCAAGTAGAGACATGTAGCTGAAGGGTAAATGTCACCCTTTCCCCCAGTAATGTGTCAGGTGCTTGGTAAAGGAAATAGAGTATGATAATTCAAAATGTCATGGTGTCTCCTTTTCTCTGTTTGTCAGTCAACCTGTCTGTCTGTTTGTCAACCTCCCATGGTACCTTTACCTCAATCTCTTTCTCTTTTTCTTGCCAAGTGCCAACACAAATTAGTTAAGTTTCTGTTATTAAAATGATACCAGATTCAGGCACTAACCACATTCCTTGTACCTCTGTACCTCTATGCATCTATTCAATGCAGGTACCTACAAATCAGAGGAAAACCAGCTGCTGTTGAAGGTCTACCAGGTGAAGGGGCCGACAGAGCATTACCTCAGCAAGTTTAAAAACGACAACTGGGCTATGGATGGATATGTAAGGCAACGTCCTCGTATTTTCTGTATCAAGCATTTTAATTTAAAACGTTTTTCTGACATTTACACATCAATCTCACCTAATAATGTAAATATTTTTGGACAACAGAATTGTGATAACAGGAACTGAACGAATCTCAAAAGTCGATGCCCTGATGTTGCACCGTCCACACCACATTACTCACCCCACACCCACTAAGTTCTTGCAAGAGAGGTGTATTGAAATGCCAGACAAATCCACAGTCACATTATGCAAAACAGTTTTTGAAATACTATGAACTCTAATTAACATCTGTAGTTTACCAAGCAGCTTTTGTTTCCATATCAAAGGTGTAAGAAATAATTTATTCCATAAAATTATCACCATTAGCCGAAGTTGCAAAAAGTAATCAGAAATTCCAGTATATATGCATTTGTTACCACATATACAATATAGCTGAAATGAAAGTGCTGTCACCATTTCCTTTTATTAGTCTATCCACCATGTTTACTGTCTTTCAAACTGGTATATGCTAAATACTATAGTGTGGTACGAAATTAAGACATCTAATTATTAAGAATTTGCAAAGTTTGCCATTATAAAGAATGGAGGTTTATCTCTTACATGTCATATCTAATGGTCATCTGTCATAGGGGGTGATCGTTTGTGACCATTGGGAACAGCAGGACAGCTTTTCCACCAACTATGTCAAATGTTATTCTTCATAGGCATTTTAAAGGAATGTTTTTTTTCCACTTTCTTGACGAGTTACTTGAGAATATCAATACAACTCTACTGTGTGTACTTTGAATATGAAGCTACATCCAACAGATGGCAAGCTTAGGTTAGTACAAAGACTGGAAACGGAGGGAAAGAGCTAGCTTGGCCAAAGATTTAAAAGAAATCTCCCTACCAGCGCTTCTAAATCTCACTAATTAATATGTTATATCTTGTTGGTTTTATTAATGAAATGACACATCTGGGGCTCAGATTTTGTTGAATTATTGTGCATTTGCTCTGTGTATTCACAATTTCTATTTGATGTGCATAAATTGTTTTTTTCTTTCATTGGACTATGACTGTATTCAATAAGCTACATTAAATTGGATATGAATATTGAATGTTGAGTGTCTAGACAAAGGAGAAAAAAAAGATGCAAAGCTTTGTGGTTCCATGTTGACTGTTTAACTGGGACTTCTTAAGATCATGTCTGCAACTGGGGAATGGATTAAAAATCTGATCCTGTTTGAGGTGAGAGGTTGGGATGGAGGAACCAAGTGGGGAGATTGTAAAAGATAGTAGCAGGCAGGGATGGTTGAAAAAGGATGTAAGGAGGAAAGAAGGAGACACGTAGACAGCCAATTTATCATGTCTCGAATGACAGAAAGAGTGAGGGCGGAGACGAGTCAGGCTAAAAATGGCCAAGTTGTGATTCCTGAAAAACAATCTTTTACAGTTAGAAGATGAAATTTCGATTGTCGATTTGTGGGTAAAACATTGCTGCTTCAATCTCCAAACAAGAGATTGTGGAGAGGGGAGAAGGAGGTGGGGACAGGGACACTGGTAACTGTTGATGAGGGAAGAGGACAGGATGAAACCTGGCTCTCACAATGCATACAGCATAATGTGAAATCCTCAAAAACAAAAAAACAAAAATGTTTATTGAATTTATTGTCACAGTAAAAAACCAAAGAACACACTGAATGATTGTTTGATTGTTTTGATTATTAAAACAATATCATTACTTTATACAAAAGTAATTTGCTGACTCATTCACCAGACTACCTCTGTGGCAAGTTTGTTTTTCCAGCACTTTGTACCTCCATCATATAATAATTCAAACATGTATATTATCTCCCATTGTATGTGCTCATATTAATCATATATTTTTTTTTTTTTCAGGTTACTGCAGAATCAGACCAGAAGACTTTTGTCTACCAGGGACATATTCACAGTAAAGACTTTGGCAAGTTCCATCTGACGAGGCAAGGTGGGTATTAACGGCCACAACAAACAATACAGCCTTGACCTTTCTAGAAAACAATGTCATTCGGAAATAGTCCAATTGAAGAAATAGTATTGAAATGTTTTTATTAGCGTTAAAATAGATGTAATTTTGGACTGAGGAAACATGAGAAGCAAAGCACTATTACACGTGCACAAAAAGGTGTTTGCGTGTTATGTGTTCATGCATGTGTGGGTTTAACTGTGTCTGTATCCCCAGGCCCTGTAACCACGTCACTAGATCCATCCAACCCCTATACGAACAGCAGCTCTGTGGCAGCAGCCATCTTAGTTCCTTTCTTTGCCCTCATCCTGTCTGGATTTGCCTTCTACCTCTACAAGCACAGGTAAGCTATATCCTCGATGTAAATCCATCAGAGAAAAACAGACAGCCAGCAGAGTAGAATACAAAACAGGTGTTTGTCCTCTGGCTTGCCTGCTGTCTCTGTGAAAAGAAGAGGTTAGATGATTAAGTGTAGTAAAGTAAAAGGGAAAAAATATTAGCTCCAATATTAGCTCCAATTTCTTTTTAATTATAGTATACACATGAACTGCATCTCAATCAGTTGATCCTAAACGTGTTCACCTTGTGAATAAATTTAAGAAAATATCCGCCTTTAATTGTTTCCTCATGCAGATATTACTTCATAATTTTCACTGCATTTGAAGGGCTTAGTTTAATTTTACTTTTTCAGTCCACCACTATTCCCTAATTTGCTTGGTCTAACTCTGTAATTTATTTTATACATTTCTATGAAACACCCACTTTAACTTATTAAAAAATGTGTCTTTATTTTATTTTATTATGGTCTCTTAAGGTTTCTATTGCTTAAACCCTTACTGCATATGTGCCTTTTATCAAATGTTAGTGCACCATGGTGCAACCTCTTATTCTGAGGGCTTGGCACCAAAACTTGAGCCTGTATTTATCAAGCTCCTCAAAGTAAGAAATGTATCCGGACACATTTACAGTGGCACATATTTTGTCCTACTTTGAATTTTTGGAGTCAGAAAGTTTTTTCAACTTCATTAACCTTAGAAAGTCACGCTACGTTTTCCAGATAAGGCAGAGAACTGGCTGGTTAGGAGTTTACAGTAGGTGGCAACTGAATTTAAAAACAATTAGTCTCTTTAAAGATAAGGATTTAAATGCCTTTGGATTAATTTTGTTAAGGTTGCAATAACCTATTCGCAAAACTCCTTAAATAAGTTACTGTACACTGAATTGGTAACAGTGAAATGCATCTATACCAGTGGTACTTTACAAATGTGATGGCATTTATTGGACCCTAAAGAATCAATTATAAGAAAACCTTTACTTTTTACTGAGTGTAAGTGTCCAAAACGTACTAAATAACTAAAAGACCCACTTTGAAGATAATGTCAAACTTACTGCACAATACTTAGGAGTGATTAATAAATAAATAATGAATTCCTGATAAATATGAGCATTGATACACAGATTCATATTTATGTTTTAGGCAGCAGTTGTAGCTACACTTCAAGTATTTTAAAGTGATAGGTAGAAGTGGCCTTTTTGGTTTTTCTCAAGGAGAACCATGCAAAATACATGTAGAAATATCTCTTCAAAAGTATTTTCTTTAATTTAAGATTTATTTTACACTGAGGACATTTGTTATACAAAGAATAAAAACAATATTTTAGTCTTGCACAATAGTGTGATCCTCTTTGCCTTTTCCTTCCACAAAACAAATCATACGCTCTGTATTTTGAGGCACAGCTTAATTTAATGAAGGTGCAAATGCAGCCCAGGACGAGTAAGCAGGGTGCACTCCACATATGCTTTCAATAGCAGATATAATCACTTTTCGAGTTTAATTCAGTTTACAATAGACTCTGAAATTCCTGTGATCACGCTCCTTATGAATAATAATGAATAGTTTTTGCATGTATATTTAGACTTCAGTCATCGGTTACAGTGTATGACATTATTGTTCATGAGCACAAATATTCCTTAATGACTGAATTGATTAGTTAATATGTGAGTCCTGTTATAAACTGGGTAGAGGGAATGTTTGATACACCCTGATTCCTAAAGAACTACTGGAATACACTGAGTGGATGAGATAAGAGTGTTTTGAAGGGGCAGACAGGTTTACAGAAATTTTAAAACTTAAATATAGCTCTAAAACTCAAAACGCACCTGAGGGTTAAATCTGATTGACCTAAGATATTAATTATTGTTCCTAGGAAGTTCAGAAAAAGACTTACAATGCCTAAAGATGCCAGATAATTCAGAACTATATTGAGGGTAAAATGTCATCATTAATGTTTCCTGTTTAAGACTTGTGTGAAACTCTAAATCTAAGAGATGTTCTGACTTCTGCACTTCATCACTCAAAGTTTTACAAAGTCATCTTACTCATTAATAATAGTCATACACGTTTATCTGTTTGGTTGTAATTTGTGGTAGCTGTATGCTACAGTATTCTATCTGCAATGAAACATATAGTGCTTATAGTGTTTATAGTGTGTGTAGTGTTTATATCGACAATACTTAGCATTGTACTAACATTATATACCAATGGCTGATTGGGCTAGAAGATTACTAACACTACCACTCCATTACTTTACACTTTGTTACACAACCTGCCTACCAGTTAGCAGTGTGCAATGCTAGTTGATGTATATTAAACCTCATGGTTGTATGCAGGACATTGTCTGCTGACACAGATGACAATGAGAGACCAAAAGACACCTGGGGGCCTGGCGGCAGGTAAGACTGGCACCTGTCGTTCACCTGGTTTCAAACAGCAACCAGACCTCCGCCCGCCGCCACATCCTCCGTCAAACTCGTCATCTCTTGTTTTTAGTTTTTCGATTTTTCTTCATGCTGTTTAGTAAGGCTGCACAATTGAACAAAATATCAAATTTAAAATTACTGAACTTGTAACTGAATGTTGTACTTTGTCTGACACTATTTTTTATCACTGGGAAATTAAAGTAAAACTAAATCAAAATGAAAATTAATTCAGAGAGAAATTAAACATGGAGACTCCTCAAGTCAGCGCAAAGTAATTGGTGTGACATTTATGCTCAGGAAAAAATAAGCATATGATTTTAAGTTTTTAAAAGCAGTGCAGCCCTACTGTGTCAAAACAGCAATCATTTAAAGTTCGATGAAGAGAATTTTATTTTGTCTTTGATCTCATTGTCATCTCTCTGTCAGCATGATGTCATCAATAACAAAATACAGTATTCGACGTACTTTAAACAACTTGCTGTTGCTTTTTTTCCCAAAATGTTACTGTTACCTGTAACTTTCATGACTTTCATCTTGACTTAACAGTGGGTGTGTGGTAAAGTTAACTTTGCTAACATAATGCCTTGTCCAACAGAATGGCAAGCCAACAGAAATAGAAATGATTTCTTCACATAACAATGTAATAGCTTAAATGAGAGACTAAAAGCAAGGTGTGAGTGTGTACTCTGCAGTTTCTTCCTGCTTTGGCCCACGTCTGCACAGTATCTATAATTCTGTCAAAGCAATTATGTGTGCTGTTATTCATTCTACCAATAAAATTAAACTATTGCACCTACAGCCACAACCAGAAACTAGTGCAGCGGTTTGAACTACTGCCACACAGGGAGGTCTGCGGTGTGTGTTTGTGTGTGTGCAGTTTTGTAAAATAATGGGTTGAGCATGTAGGGTAGGCTTAGTGGCTCCCCAGGGTTGGATTTCTACCAGTGCGCACACACACACACACGTACACACACTCTTAATGAGGTCAGAGTCAAACAGCGTTTCAGCTGCAGCACTCCTCCCTGCTAATAGTTCCACAGGGTTTGGGAGTAAGTGATTATATCTAACTGGATTATAGGACCTGATTATCCAAAAATGTAATCTGCGACAAACAGACAAATTAGGATGGGGGTAGTCATATTTCACCATGTATCTGTTTGAACCCCTGCAGTAAATTTCTTAAAATCCTCATTCAGGCAAACTGAGTAATAATATATTCTTTTGAACTAAAACCATTGGGTACCATTCGCAGGATGATGGCAGGTTGTATGCACGGCAGACACACTCACATTAGAGCAGCAGATGGGCACTGGGCAGATGAACCACTGAAGCAGCCAGTTGTTATGGTTCATGTTCTCGCTCCTGCCATAATTTTCCCTGCAATTTGTAGATTTTTACCAGAAACCTTCACTTACTAAGTCTGAGGGAAAAAAGCTGCCGACCAACATATCTAACAAGACAGCTGAAAGGACAGATAAGGGTATTTTAATTTACCTAAAACTTTTTTTAATTAAACATTGTTTTGAATTGGTTGTAGAGGTAAATGAGATAAATATAGTCAATATTCAGTAAACTGTTAATCCATAACCTTACAATTACGTATAGGTTTCTCTGAGTATGAGTAGTGCGAGGACTTTCGGCTGTTCAGTAATCCTTGAACTCATACATTCTTTATTTCCCTGAACACCTGTGCTTTTTAAATTAGTAATGTTAAATAGGACATGCAATTCAAATTATAAAATGCTGTTTGCAGTCTCTTATATTTCAAAATGTTTAAACTTATCACACAAATGAAAAAGTCAAACTTTTGACATTGACTTAAATAAGCAATGCTTTCCTGCTGTCAGTCGAAAATCTTTTAACTAAAACCTTCATAGGGGGATTTTTGAACAGTTGGGGGCAAAAACCTCCAAAACAAACTCATAGACATATACAACCATACACAGAGCAACATGAGCATCCCATTTGTTATTTTTCTGGCCACCTGAAAATTTTGGTTCTGGTTTGATTCACCTATTTCAGAGCTTTGTGTTAATACAAATTATCACTAAATTCAAGTTATTTTATAGTTCATTTTTGTGTCCTGTGACAGCTAATACATGGTGTATATTACAATAAGGACATCAGCAAATTTAAGCAACTTAAACGCGCAGCCCTAAAATGTCTATGAGTTTGTGATTTACTAGTCATTTCATGTTTCAGAGGTCTGCACCCTTTTGGTTGTACTGTGTTTTCCTTTTCCAAACATTAAATACAATCAAGATATCTTTGTGAAATCAAATACCTGCCATGAACACCATTATTTCCTTCTCATTTTCTTTTTCAGGACGCGTCCCAAGGTCCAGTTCAATGGCTATGTCGGCCATGAGAGCTCCAATGGCCAGGCATCATTTGAAAACCCAATGTATGACACCAACATGAAGCCTACTGAGGCTAAGGCAGTTCGATTCGATACCACGCTCAATACAGTCTGCACTGTGGTATAGTCCAACAAACCTGCCACTACCTATATAGTGGTTCAGTCCAGCCTCCCTGTTGCAGTGTGGTTTAACCAAACAGAGAAGAAAGAACAAACTTGTGATTTGGACTTGTCACCGTGAGCAGTCTGTGTTGTAGCATGCTGGTCCTCAGGCAGCATTATCTGCGCAGTAATGCAGCTTTGCTCCACCTCCACCTGAACAATGGTGTCACCTCTCCCTATAGTCTGAAAGAGCAAAATAAGGTTGAACCAATAAACAAGGGAGTAGACAATGACGTCATCAAATAACATAAAATCTGTTGTTCAGGAGGTCAGTGCTGGGACCAGAATTCTTCTTAAGCACTGTTGCTATTCAGAGATCGATAGAAAAAAAATAAAGAAAACCTTGCTGGACCGTGCTCGTCCAGGGTCAGTTTGACTTCTGCAAAAATTTGACCCAAATGTCCAGTCACATGGCCCCCTCGAATATCCTCCCCGCAACCTGAATAGCGGTTTACCCAATCTAACCCCATACTCCATGCCAAATTTGCACAGTGGTTTAGGCTTGCTAACTCCCCTGCTGCAGGCCAGAAGTGGGTTTGACCGATGCAAGGTTCTACCCTCAGGGGAAGCAAATAGACTATTCCACCCTTAAAGCCCCTCGGGACATTGAATACTTATTGGATGGTTCCTATATTACAACACAAAAACCATCATTGGTGCTGGACCAAAAACCTCCCACTGGACTTCCATCACGCTGGACTTGACAGGACTGGACTCTCTGATGCGATGACAGCTTACAGAGTCTGTTTTGGTGGAATCTCATATAGATTGTGAAATGCAGTCAATGCAGTGACGAGTTCAACCAGACCAATTCCTTTAAAGAAAATGATACTCTCATCCAGAACTGGATACTAGTATAGTACTAGGAGTGGTGGACTAGTAGTAGACAAACCGGGGTCAAATACAGTTGCAGATAAGTTTAAAATGTTCGTTTTAGCCAAACTTGGAGAATGGGTTAGGTTTGATATACCAGGATAATCACAGTGTTAGGCAAGTTGAGTTGTTGGATTTTAAAATAAGTTACTGTGATTGTCTTTGCCCATCTGCCACTTACTGTATTGCCTTTTATGACAATGTCTACCTACAGTATTTGGCAACCAATGAGGTTAAAACATACCAAATCAAGCTTTTGCAAATTCTATTTTTCCCAGGTTTAGTACGAGAGCCTGTGACCTAGTTCTAGATGAGTTTTGGACGTTTTCAAATATTCCATAGAGTTACTACACATTTAAAATCAGTCCTATACACAATATTCCGCACTAGCACTAGGCAGACTGTGCTGAACCAGAAAACCAGACATTTGAGTTGCCACGCTGGTGTACACAGTGGACTGGTTTCCAGAGGCCTGTCCAATACAATCAAAGAGTCAGACAACTGATTCTTGTTCTTGGACTAGCCAGGATTCTGTGCTTGGTGGCTGAACAAGTGGAAGCCTGGAGGCAATAAGCTGTCAAGATCGTCGACTGCTGCAATCAGCTGTGGCCAAATCCAGGAAATGATTTGTCTTCTTGTAACTGTGGTCGGGATTATCAGTCAAGTGATGACTGATTTTTTTCTACAGTATACTCTCCAGCCACAGAATCAGAAATAGAAACAGATTAACAGACCGACCGGTTGACTGACAGAAATTAGACAGACGGACACAGACAAATGGACGGATAGACATCTCTGTCAGTCACACTGGAAAAGAGAGAGGACAGGTTGCTACGGAAACAGAGGCAAATAGTTCTCTCTAATTGTCTCTGCTGGCATTTTTCTTCAGTGAAGATATTGATGAACAGACTCCATGTTCATAACCCAGTGGGCCCATGGGACTTCCCAAACGACTGCTGCTGGGGACCCCAAAATATAAACTTTATATAAACTCTTAAACCGCACAAATTTTGCACTAGTGTGTTTTTCTGACTGGGTTATGAAAAAATGAATACTTTTTGGGTCTGAAATGGGTTTGAAAAATGAGTCATTCAAAAAAGAGAATTTTATTCAAAAACTTCTATCTTTAAAAAGACGGCAAGATGACTAAATACAGGGTTACAGAGTGTTTGTATATACACATTTATATTTCATACTCCCTGTTAGCCGAAGGTGTGACCACATGCTATACCGTTGTTTATTTTGTTGCCATGACAACATGCTAGCCAACCAGAAAGTTGGGATCAGTTTACCTGTGGACCTTTCTAGCTTCTAGTGTCACATAATGACACCACTTTGTTGCCATTTTTAGAACAGTGGCTGTTTCTGAAAGCTCATACTGAATACTGTTACTGCTATAACATGTGAAAGAAATATACATCCATAATATGCAGTATGGTCCCACTGAAACACTGGTGCCACACTGCTAGTTTTATTTACAGCCATTGAACTCCATAATTTTCTGAGATACTGTACAGTTCTCTTAGGGTTCTCTATCTAAGTATTGGTTCACTTTTTCTGTTGATCCCCAACAGTAGCAGACAGTTTAAGCTTTCAGAAACAAGTGATTGTTTCTCTAACTCTCTTTAAAAAGATGTGTTGTGTTTCCACATTATCATGCATCATCTTTTCAACGCATTTTACATATCTGATGATCTTATTTCAACACACCTTTTTAAAGAGCTCACATTGACCGTGTGATCAGTTTGAGAATTGGTCATTTAAGGCAGAGGAAAAACAGAAACGGTATGAAGACAACATGCACAATTATTGTTGTCAACAGTTATCGCCCCTGGAGCCCCTCCATTGTTTGAGAAATACCTCGTATGCAGAGAGTAAGTTACATCCTGCTTATCAATGCTGGAACCTCACTGTAACAAATACACAAGCTTAGCGAGTGTGACCTTGCATTCAGCTTATTTCCTGGTATTTTAAGTCGAAACATCGTACTAACACCCATGAGTCTGCAGGATCCAAGAAAATTCTCTAGTTTCAAATCACTTGCCAAGCTTGTTATTTCTCGCAGTGTCCTCTCAAAAATATTTTTATTTTTCGAAAGATGCTGCACTTGGTTTAGATCACAGATGTAACTGCTTTCAGTGTGTGTCTTTCAGTGTCTTCAGGCCTGTTTCTTGTTTGTTTCACACTCCATGCACCATTCTGACATTAGGCTTACACTTCAGGCATTTGCTTTAACCTGCATGATTTTTCTTATCCAAATGAGTTTTACTTGATGTCCCTCGTGTTTTTCAAATATTAAATTTCAGTCCATCATACCGTCATGCCTACAAACAATAAATCACAAATCCATTCATTAATACATATGATATCAAATGGTGAGTGGAATGTGTGAGAATCAGATAATGAAAGCTTACAACTGATGAAATGATTTTGCTCATGAAACACTTGTTATATTACAGTGTTATAGTCCAGGACTTAATTCACTAAAAACAGTGAGTGTATTTCCACAGAATTTAAATACTGAAACAAAAAAAATCATTTGGCATGAGAAGGTTGTCACATCTACCTATTCTAAGTGAGAATGAATTCACAAGCAAATTGCAGTTTCTATTTACATTTTCTGCTCATTTAATTGAAAATGAATCTACTCCAGACCTAAATGTTGCAAATGAAACGTTCTGAAACAATGGAGATTATGTTTGGAAAGCATAACTACGGGATATTGTTGGTATTATAATATCCATTGTGAAGCTGTCATTCACAGCCTCTGTGTCAGGGTCATGAACAGACAGCCAGAAACACATACACCAGTGTGAGGTACACAAAATAAAGATATGCAGATGTGCGTATGAGCTATAATACTGGCAGTGGTTAAAAAGAACGTCGAGACAGAAGACGTATTAAAAATCTCTTCAGAGAAATAAACAAGACATCTGTAAACAACAGTAGAGCGTCTGTTCACAAGATAGTGAGCCTCGAATCTTTTTATTGCTGGAGTGCACCCACTTTCTCTATTTTAATTGATTTAATTAATTCAGCTGAGATTTCCTATGGAGTCAAGAGAGCATAATAGTGCCTGAAAATTAGAGGCTGCAAGGTTTCCACAGGGGTAATAAAAGGTCTCATTTTTAACAATTAATGACACCGATCTGATCTCCTAGTGTGCCCAAACAAGAACAGTTAGACTCCATATTCCCTGTTATCTCTTGCATGTAAAGATCAGAGTCAGTACTACAGTGGTTGGATTTCAGATCTTATGCCATGGTACAGTCTCAAGCTTACAGCAGAAATCTTAGGTTATTACAGTGTTTGTGTAATAGTTTGTCTCATTGCTTCTGATAAATTTAGACTAAAGGTATGCTGAGTCATGGTAGATGTGCAGAATGAACACAGCTCTGGATTGTTGGACTGCTAGATTACAGCTAAACAGATTTCAGTTTTTTTATTCAATCTTATTCAATAATATCTCTTTCAACAAAAATGTCTTCAATAGGGTTACAAAAAATAGATCCCATGTGTCCATTTTATACTCACAAAGGAGGCAGTCGAACTGAAAGCTGGAGATAATTCAACTATTTAAAAATTAAAGGAATGTGAATGATATAAACGGGAAGAAAGGCAGTCCTCTCGTCTACCAGGTCTACTGTTGATTCCTCTCATATAACAGAAAAGAGGAGGTCTACTGTGGTCCTGATCGAGATCATCATACAATAGACAACATTTTTATTTAACCTTACAGTGTGTCCCTTACTTGCTGTATCTTATTAGAATCAAATTCCATAACAAAAGAGCCCTTCTGGGTGTAATGAGTTAATCTTGTTTGGTATAGCTATTCTGTTCATTTCTGTTAAAAAATTTAGGAAAGACAATGAGGAGGCTGTGATACAGTGACTTCTGGCCACTGACATTTATAGCATCACTAGTATCCTTAGTCGACTTTTGAAAATGCGATGATGAGACACATCTCTTCTCTGACATGCCCAGAAAATTTGGATAATATTCCCTTCACTCAACTTTTTTTTTTCACAATTTGTGTAGAAGTTTCCACATTTGTCCTTCATTTGGCATCGTCAGCAGTCCTCACTGTTTAAAAGAGCGACAGCTGGCTACAAGTTTAAAAAAAATAATAAAACTACCCACTAAATTTTAAAATGCCAAGGCTGTTTCTGCTTCTGAGACATTTCACAGTTTGGGAAGAAGTTTCCACATTTGTCCCTCACTTTCTCTAAAGTGGTATTGTCAGCAGTCCTCATTGAAACAAAGGGCCGCAGGTTGCTGCGAGCTGAAGAAAATACCAGCTAAAATTGTAAATGTCACGCATTGCCTTTTCACACAGTGTCACATGGCAGAGATGAGCTTTTTTTTCTCCATGAAGTATTAGATACAGCATAGCTTCAATGCAGATATAAGACATATCTAAATAACATCAGATGGATGGAAGAGGGATGTTGCTAAACTTTTCCTGTAGGAATACTATAGGAAATTCCAGTTGCTGTCCTGCTTGGAGAGGAACCGTGTCATACATGTGTTCATATGTGGCTCAGCCGCCAGATGGACCTGTAGATGGATTTCTATCTGTGCTGTAATGTTTCTGGTGTGTCTGTGATATGCACAAATACACTACATATATATATATATATATGTATATATATATATATATGGGCTGCTTTCAGTTTCAGTTTGTCAAATTTAAATATTAAGTATTGCTGTTAATTTGCCCTTGACAGGCCTTTGTTTTACCTTCTTTTCGATAGTCTGGATAGGACAAACTTCTCATGCCGTACATTCAGCATTAGAGCTTTGAAGATAAATCTACAGCCTGGTGTGTCTGAATTGAACGTGCGTTGACTGCAGCCCTGCTTCACTCATCAGTGCAAACAATGAATAATTGTCATTTCAGCACATGGCAGCTTGTAGATCAGGACACCACATATAAGTGCTATATTCACACGTTACAGTGACTGGATGCGTTAGCGACACATATTGACATGCAGTAAGTACGTTTGTTGCTTTTAAATGTGTGCTGAAAAATATTGTTTCATTTTTGTTGTCCCAAATGGCACAGAGATATGTTGAATATGGCAAGTCCTCACCAGGGAGTTGCCATCATCATTATTAGTGTTATCATTTTAAGCATCATAATCACCGTCATTATCATCACTGTCACCTTTCATCATCATCATCATGTGCTGCTGAACTTGAAGTAGGTGCAAAAGAAAAAAAAATTTTGTACAGAAAATCTATTTTTTATGGAGAATTTGTAAAAAAACAAATTATTAAACATGCTGTACTTTTTATGATTAATGATGTAGGTACAACAAAATCTTGTTCATTAAAGTCAATGTTTTTACTGTCACACACCATGTAAAAATCTGAGGTTCAAACTGAGTATCAAATATCAAAATGTCATATGATCTCTTTTGTCCATTATGGCTGCTTTTACACAGGAACAGGAAACCTTGCAGGGACCCAGAGTTAACTTTCTTCGTGCTGGAGTGAACTATATCTGGGTCACACCTGTAAAACATTTGTTATTCACGTTCTAAAACACTAAAATCATATACAATAATGTGTCAGTTTCAACCCCTCTACAGCTTGAGGGCAGCAGACTATGTCTTTTGAACAGCATTCATTGCTAAAAAAATGGTATAAAGTAATTAACAACTGTAGGTGGCTTCTAATGAGAGTTGCCTGAGAATTGGTTATTTCTCTCATTAAAATATCTTGTTTACGTACATACATATTTCAGAATTGATTTTAGATACACACACACTTTACAATGAACATAAAATAAACACCAGATGTTTAGTGTCACAATATCATGAACGGATTGGTTCATGGATGGGTTGAAAATGACACCTCCGATAAAACACAGTGTTCTTGTGTAACAGCAGCCCTGTGTGACTGATCCTAATGTCTACATCTGGGAGAGGGATGACTTCCACAGGCACAAAAGATTTTGGATGACTTGACCCCTTTTGTCTTTTATGGCCCAAAATCTGATCCCATGTCTGTCTAAACAAGGAGGAATCTGGTTCTCCTTGCTTAGACATTATGGGTTTAGAGTGGAAATGAAATTGTGGTAAATTTAGGCTCTAGCAGCAGCATTAGCAAATCGGCAACAGTTTCGGAGGCTCCTATATATTGACTGATAAAACAAGACTGGTACTCTTTAAGTTTTGAATTCAAGGATGGAAAATGGCATTTTCTGTCCTCCCATGAGATCATGTGAGAGAGAAACAACATGGAGTGTTATAAAGAGTTAAACAACAGATACTGTATGTGAATGCAGCCTCACAGCGTGCTGTTAAAGAGACACAGTTTATCTATCAGCTATTTTGAAAACATTATTTGAGAATAAAGTTTTTGATACAATAATTTCTCCTTTGTGCTAATGTTTTTGTGAGCTGCTATCCTGATTTATGAAGTAGTCTTTAATATGTTTTGTGTGGCTGAATATGTTTAGTTGCAAACACAAGGTCACTATGGTGCCTCAGTCCTGGGTTTAACCTGATTTGACCAGCTGAAGCCTTTCTGTGTGCATGTTTTTTTTTTTTTCGGATTTCGTCCAGGTGCTCAAGTCTCCATGCACAGTCTAAAGATATACTGGTCAGGTGAATTTATGTTATTGTTTGTCTAGGAAATACAGGTTCATTAAACATGAACCTCTGTGGCTAGACACTACTACTGTATATGGACTAATTGCTTAATTTTGAATTCACAGTCAAACCCCTGTGCAGGTTTCAATGAGGAGTACCTTAATCCTGACATTAAAAAGGGATAATCCCTGGCAAAGTGTGTGTTAAAGAACCTGATGTTTGACTCTGCACTGAGTGCAATAATCACTGCATAATCTACAGAGTCTTTCAGTCACTGATAGCAAACACTGTGAAGGTCAATTAACTTTAAGGGTGGGAGTGGATTATATTGCATTGCAGTCTTGGTTGCTAATATTTTGTGGTGCGCTTGGTACGGAAGACTTAAAACGTAGTGTTCGAAATTTACATCAATACATGTGCTTCATAGTGAGCATTTCTTTTTTATTATTATTTATCTTTTTAATTTTTTTTGTACAATGCTGGACTTAAAAAGTTGATGTTTTTTTCTAGACGTGCTGGACCTTACTAGCATGTTACCATGGTTACACAGGTTGGTCAAACTTTTCAGCAAATCATATCACTGAGAAATTGAATATACGTAAGTAAAGAGATTCCATCAATGACTCATATGAAGGCAGAGAAGGAGAGAGCTGGAGCAGTGAAGGGAGAAAGCAGCACAGCCAGTCAGCCACAGCATGTGACTGGTTGGAAACACTGGGGCAGAGTGATGACAGCTGAATCTTTATTTATACGGCACCTTACAAAACAAGGTTACAAGCATATTTACAGGAGAATTCATGATTAAACATTTCACTATTTAAAGCAACAGATGCATGGAAGATGCACAGAGCAAGAAATAAAAACAGGACAAGAAAATACAAGCAAATGATCTGAATAACTAAAAGGACAATGCGATAAAATAAAGGAAAAGAAGAAGAAGGCAGTGAAATAAAAGCTGACATTGAAAGGAGGCCAGAATTGAGATGATGTGATCTTGTCTCTAATACTGACAGTGAGTCCAACATGATGTCTGGACAAATTCTGTTCAAAACAACATGTGTTTATTTCAAATTCCAAACCAATTTTTTTTTCAAACATACCAAATTATGCTAAAATGAATTTTAGAGAAAATTGCAGGATATGATGCACAGACATCTAGGCCTAGTAATACTTTTATTTTATGCTGGGGCAGCCATGAAAAATGTGGCATCTTGGATTTGAATATTTTAGTCTGTTAACATGTAATCTAGCCTCACTAAAGCACATAGAAAATTGATATATCACATATAGAAATAAAAGGATATGGATAAGGAGACCCGAAGAAATGCAAAAAGGCCTCTCAGCCGGTGGAACAATAAATAACCCCATTCTCAAGCAAGATGTCAACAGTTTGAGTGCAGGCATGACATTTATTGACATAGAGTGATGGGCTTCAGAGAATCAAATAAAACAGGTTTTGATGAATTTCTCCTGAGATGGAGAGAGTTTTGAGACAACCATAATGGTTATTTCTAGCATAAAAGATATTAAAAGATTCAAGTTCTCTTCTAAACCAAAGGGGACAGAGGATGGATCCTTGGGGAACACCACAGGTGAGAGGTGGCCACTGAGGAGGAAGCTTCACTTCAAAGTATGATTTGAAAAGATGAGCATAGTAAATATAGTTAAAACACAAAATTATTACAAAACATTATGGCAATAAAGCAGACATCTAATTTTATCCACTGTGACCACATGTGACAGGAACAGGAAGTGGTTGCCACACTAGATATAGATAGATGTACTTTATTAATCCCCAGTGGGGAAATTCTTTTGCAACACTACCTGGCAAAACCCTATTAGTTATTCAGCACCTAAAGAGTAAATTTTTTTTTTTCACAGCACCGGGAGATTTAAACGCTGGTAGCCTATCTGCTCTATCTCTGTTTACCTCGCTGTTCTTTGTAACAATATAAGTATTAAAACAAAGCCAGAGAGCAGAGGTAGAATCTTGTTGACTCATGTTTTCCACTTTCAAACTTCTTCTCACTCAACAACTCAACCCTCCACGTCCGACAGAGTCCTGCTGTTAGCTGTTAGACAAACAGGTGGAAATGTTAGCAAGGAGCAGCAGCTAGCTCCCTGCAGGTAGCTGAAAGCAATAGTGATGATGAAGATGATGATGGTGAAACACGTCGAGTTTGTCGTGTTCAAGCGTGTTGGACTGTTTTAGACCTTTCATACAGACTACAGTGGATTCATGTGATTTTTGCTGGATTGGATTTGAACTGACAGCTGCTGAGTGAAAGCATACGTAGTAAGTTGTTTCATATTCAGTATTTGTGATGACAGGCCTGTCATAGATGCTGGATATCTGGTGTTTGTTGCTGCTTCTGTTGTGGACCACTGTGTCTCTTTGGTTATTGTAGTAATGGCAGGACACACATTACTTGCAGACTTGCAGCCTAATTTGTTGTCATGTTTGGGTTGATTATGTGGCTTTATGGCTGAATGAGCATCCATCATCACTGAATGTCAAATGCTGAATGCTCGCTAGTTTAGTCAGTCTTACTTTTTTTTATCCTTGACCTTTATCTGATCATGGTTTTGAAATAGCCTATCAGTGCTAAATATCAGCAGCTCGCAGTTTAATGATAAATCCATGGCAATGTCCATGGTGATGAAATAGCACACCTTATTATAATCCACATTTCTCTCTGTTCCGTATAAGGGCAACTTAGGGAACCCGAGGGCAGATGTAGAAGCAGCTTGTCAATCACAAGGCAGCCACACCCAAAATCATACCCTACCTTTTAGTCTATTTTTCTCTAAGTGGGACCATCATTTACTAAATGAATATCACGCTGTATTGAAGAAGACTTGAAACTAGCGATTGAGACCGTAATCCAATTAGGGAACTGTTTACCAAGCTAATACATCAAGTGAACAAGAGGGTCATTTTCTCAAAAGGTTAAAAAGAGTCTGACTTCTTTTTGCAAACAATGGAGTCTCCCCCTGCTGGCCACTGGAAAGAATACAGGTTTATGGCACTAACGTATTTGCTTCCTGGAAGCAACATCCACTATTTATCACCGAGTCCACGGCATAGATAAGTTTACACGTGGCAACAATCTCCAACTAACTTTCACCATCTATGGCACTGTTGTAAAATCAAATCAGTGATATTATGGTTTTCAGTAACCCTGTTGCTCCCGCAGTTGTCCCCTTACGGAAACTCTGCTTTATTTTAAACACAATGTTTAAACACAGTTCAGAAGGTCAGCTGCTGATAATCATAATATATACATAAAGTGTCTAATAATCATTTTCATCATCATCTTAATGAAGTTTCCAGATTTGTCTGCAGGTGCTGAACATCAAAAGGAGAGGTGGAGCTTTTTGAATATATTAAAGGTTTGAGTTGAATTTAGTTGAGTTACCTTTATTGTCATTACAGAAAGTTTTGGAACTTTACTTGGTAAGCTCATTGTGCAAAGGAACAACAAGGAAGAAGGAATATGTTTATGTTTCACTTCATTTTAATGTGCATATTCATAATTGTGGTTGTTGCTTGAGGTGGGGGATATGGCCCTAAAGTAATATCAAGATATTTCAGGGTATTTCTGCAATAACGATATTCTTGACAATTTGACAAAATACTGAAACATATTTTCATTTAGAACTCACAGTAGCTGTTGAGCTCTCCTCGCAGGCTCACTCTCCTTGTTCTCAATCTGCCGTGTTGCTTGAGGTGTTTAAGTAAGTTTTTTGTTTATGTTGTTACAGTCTTCTTGTACTTCTTACATAATACTGTGGTTGTTACATCGGATCTTGTGTAACCAAACCACTGTCACATTACTGAAGTCACTCCCCTTTTTGGATCTCCTTCACTGCAGTGCCAGTAGTAATTTTCACTTTCAGCCACGCTTGTTGTCACTGTGCATAATGGGATGATGTCATAATAATAATCAGCATATGATTATTTTTTATTCATATTAAACATTATACTGGTATTATCATGAATGATATATATGGTATGCCCTTTCCCCTCCTGACTAACACACCAACTGATCAACTTTACTAAATGCATGCATAGGAGCACAGATTATTAAATATAGATGCATTTAGATGTAATTCATCTACAGTAAAATTTGTAGAAAAAAGCCAAAAGTGTGGGCTGTAATGGAAACTTATGATCGAAACTGATTTACGACATAACACTCTTCCCTCAAACACTTCAGATGCTTCTCTCATTTGAAAGTATAGTAGTATGCCAAAGGCCTTTTAGTTACAGTATGTCTGCAAGACATATTCTTACGTTTCCACTGCATGGTAGGGCTTCTCTACTTTGGTTTCCATTGTTGTAATACCGCCCGTCAACGTAGATGGGATTCTTAGCTGATCATCACAGCGGCTTCGGGTGAAACTGTCGTCATCTTCAACGCGATGCAAACACAGGAACAGCGAATGGTTTGCAGTGCAGTGATTATTGTAAGCCTCAGAAAATCCACCAGTTAGTTACAAGTTAGTCACTTGTTTTCAGAAACATACCTGCAAGGTGATCCCACTTCATCAACATAACGCAGGGGAGCTAATTATTACCACAAAACTTGGCTTTTATCCACCAGCCAAAACACAAAGTGGTGGCATTTAGACAATTACTTTCTAATAACTCCACCTCAAGCTAAGACATACTGTGGGATCTCAAAGACCATCCTTGATGATAGTCTGCTGGTAGGCTTGAAGGAAATAATACTGCAATATCAGATTAAAAATGTTATATATATCATCCACTAATTG